CTTGAATCATCAAACAACCAATTTGCATGCATCGCCAACACGGAATAATTCTTCTTCGGAATAAAACTAATAATTTATTATTTACGTGCACAGATCGAAAGAAGTTATTCGACCAAACTGAGAAACTACTCTACGCTGGCGCCTGCTGGACACACCACCTACACGCACACACAGAAGTGGACGGGTTTGAATAGATGAATTTATTAATAATTACCGAATTTACTGTACTAATGTAAAGTTATGCCTTGGTTAACCGACAGCAAGAAAGCGATGGGAAATTGAGGAGTTTCTTGCTACACAGCAAGGTATTCTTAAAACTACTTAAGCAGGAAATTGGTCGCGTTCACACAAACAATTCTCATAGGTTCATTACAATTCTCATAGTTCCATAATCCGAACTTCCATTATAATTCCCATGACCACACCAAGAAAGCGAAGAAACTGTAAACCAGTGATAAGGATATTACAGCAATTAGTTTTCTCCATTTTCCATCAGCTTTTTTCAAACATTAAATTTGTTACATTAAGAAAACCATGACGAGTGAAAATTTACGATTTCCTCTGAACGATGTGATCAGGGCACTTCAAACTCGTTAACGAGCAAAATTCGCAATTTTTCAAAATCCAAGTGCCGAAATATTTACGTAAAGAGAGATTAATGTCACCAGCTAATCCAGTTCAAAGCAGTTTTTCAAGATTAGTGTAAGAAATTATAAGAGCTTTGCCTAAGTTCAAACCCTATTCGTAGCAAATGACCGTGCAACACCATTTCCTTACTGGCAACTGTCATAATTTTTCAAACAGTAAGTAGTTTGCACGCAAGTTAGAAATATGCAAAAATTAGACAATTCCACATCGATTTATTTCGAAACATCGACCGGGTGCAAAAAAAGCAGAAAGAGACGTTAACTGATGATATTTACACAACTGTGGACAACACCTGCACTGCTGCAGCATTGAATAACAACAATTAATGGCAACGGAAATGCTGAGCTCTACATCTGCACATTCATAATATCGATATAATCAACTCAGTAATTAGCAAATAAGACAAGAAAGAAGCAGACCCATTCGCATACACCACCACCATATTTTGGGAAACATCCCGCCAGGCCACGGCTACCTGTATGGATTCGCTCTTGCCGCCTGTTGTATATTCTCTTGATATTTCCAGCACAAACGCACATATGGAAATTCTAGTCGCGACCAGCTGAAATTCGAGTAAAGAAAAGGAACAATCTCTCAAAGTCCCATCAACGGGTAATCAGAGCACTTGAGCACTGCCTCATTAAAATCCCGCCGTGTCGAAGAGAGGCCTCTTGAGTTACGGCTAGAACCCTCAGACCACTGGTCACTTGCAGGCCCAAACACCCCTTGATTCTATCCGCAGCAACCTGACACCCCCTCCTGTGGGCCATAGCATGCACAGACACGCAAATCGCTGCCGGTCACCGGGATGATGCAGCTAACCCATCACGCATAATTTCATCCAGAAAACTACCGAATTCGCGATCGATCGGATTAAACAGAGCAAAAGTATTAACGCTCTGACCAGCTCTCGGCAGTAGTGCGCTTTGTCTTTCTCACCTGCCTCCGGAAAAGCAAGAACAAGCTTATGAATGCGAACAATCGCATCAGCACAGAACGGATTAAGGAACCTGCATTAATTAATTTCCCAGTGTTCGGCATGAGCCCAAATGACCACCTTATTACAAATAATTACGGATGGAAGCCATCACGAAAATTTAGTTCTAACCTGATTCTCCCATAGGGATCAGCTCGTGGATATAAGCCGATATTTTTAAGCTTGAAATGTAAAGCTAACTGCTGTAAATCCTATTATCGATAACCCACTGGTACTTAGCAGATAGGCGTACAAATATTGCATAAACAGCTTAATTTGCTCATAATGCAAACTTATGAGTAAAGTACTGCACTAATTTTAACAGCTGGTTTTTCGTGGTTTCTAGCGTCAACCGCCAAATACCAAAAAATCCCAAATTAACAGTAGCGAAACTGTTTACGAATATTCGTAAATTTAATTTCATAAAATCTACCCTGCTCGGGTCATGCACCTCTGCAGATAAGGTCTGGATCACATTATACAAGCAATATTATTCTACATAAGGACATGCTCCACAATAGAACGGATCCGTGCTGCCAAACCATTTCATACGGCTTTTAGAAACTGAAAATCGTGGGAATATAAGAGCAAATATGTACGTTTCCAACGATGACATATTGTTGCACATTTTGTGAAGAGCTCTTTCTCTTCGTAATCTTTATGATCGTTACATTTACCTGAATACTCTACATTGTTCATAACAAGAGAGACATTGAACGGCCACAGCCCAGCCGCGAGACGGGAAAGGGGAAAAAGCAATAAACAATTCACTCTAGCCTGTGTACCCGCGCACGCACTTGATCTACCTGCATTTTACCAATTAAAACTCCATACGCGTTGCGTACAGCCGTCGCTGTTTGCATTGCAATGGCCAGCGGTCAGTTCTGCACTTCGCACTGATCGGCTTCATTGGCGCTGCCAGACCGACATGTCTAGTGCAAACTTTCTTTGTTTAGCCAAATCACCCCCAAATCTCAAATCTTTTCCCCATGCCTAGGTCGGGACAGAAGATTTTACCAGGAACGGCGATGCCTGCCTGGCATGCCTTTCTTTCTTCTGCAAAGCACCCCATCAATCGTCTTTGCAGGCAATACGATTGACAAGTGGCAAGGTGCACACGAGACTGTAGAATTATGGCGGTGGTCAAACCAATTGGAAACCGGGATGTAAATTTATACAGCTGCCAATTGGATAGCATATGCGGATCGGGTTATCAAACCAGGCAGCCACTACAAAGTATTACAGGACAAAAGAAAATACCGGATCAAGGAAAAGGAGTTTCAACTTTTAGCTATTATGTGAACCATAACGTTAACTGTCTAACTACACCTTCGTAATAGGGATAAACAACCGTAAATCAGGAAAAAGATCAGATTTCTCGGTGCACTTGAAATCGAACTTGGACTGGGTTTATTTCGATCCTATAAATTATCGTTTACAGTTAAGATAAAGACTAATTGCAACTACGTCTAAATATTCAATCAATAGCAGCTTGCTCCGTCTATTTTTCAAAGCTGTTACACTAACAGAATGAACGAGTTTACACTGCTATGTAATCCATTTGATTTAGTTCACCAGCACTATGCCGACAATGATCATTTTACATGGGAATAACCTTCAGAAAAATTATTTACGCATACACTGACAAATCACTGTAGCTAGCTTTGGCAAACAGTTCAAAAACAGCAACGAGAGAAATATCAAGTTGAAATGAGTACTTGACTGAACAGTTGCGATTTTTTCGTCATCCTGTCTAAACTGCACGAGAAGCTACAGCGCGCTATTACAGTGTATGGACGGATTAGATGTATTGGAAGGTAAATGCAGTGACACGCAGAGAAAAACTAACATTTTTTCCAAATCTTAACCTTGGCTTGAACAGACTTATCTGCAGTGTCAACGAGCGGCTTCCTGTTAAATGCATTATACAGCTTGTTAGAAAAAAAGAGTAAATTGCAGCTGTATGGAAATGTATAACATATAATACAGATTACAATGATCAACCACTTTACAAAAAAACAAACACTTTCTTTAAATGCCGCTCAATAACCACTGTTATGTTCGGCATAATTGGTACAATTAATTCCGTAGAATGCAATGAAAGGCAGTGGAGCCAAAGTAAATTTTGACTGACAACAACAACGGGGACAATTACACTGCAGTGACGGCACTGTACAATCCACCAACGTAACCGCGGACAGGGGCCATGGTGTAAATGATGCTCAATGTGTCAGCATCCGCGCCGATAATTTCATGTTCCGCAGATGAATATTTCGCTCATTACCTCCGCCGAAAATTGCTGCTTGCGAACGGCATCAATTAATTTCCTCTCTCTCTCTCTCTTTATATGGAAAAACATGATTTGGAATACAAATCGAGAGAAATTATGTGACTAATGGTCGAATTTATTTCCTTTATATGGGTTAATATTGATCATACGCGCTATTACTATTCCCTGTCTGCGCAGTACTTTACGTGTATAAATTTCAATCGGAAAACCACACATCTCAAAAGGCAACAGCTATACCGAAATATGTATGTACATTTGACAAGATTTACACATATCAGCGAAATCGGAGCCAATCTTTCCGAACCCTTGAGTGTTCCTGCCAATATCACCGCCACAGAACATTACAAACAGACGCCTAATTAATGACCGCTAAAATAAATACGGCACCAGCACGATATTACATCCGGCCATTACAAGATCATTAGATTTTATGTTCCCCACATATAATATCTGACCACTGTTCTGGCGTCTGGCCCAGCACCCTACCCCGCCGAGTGGAGATCTACATGTATGTCATGCACCGAAAATGTCAAAACTGATTTCTATTATAATGGTTATGTAAATAAACAAAAGATCGAGGTGAACTACTACAATTTGTCATGCCAACTGGAGCGTTGTGATTGATTCTGGTTCGAATTTTGCGCGGACGGGCTTAGTCATGTCCCCACAGTGAGAAATCGAAACAATAACCGTTAACCACAAAAGCTGCGCTATTAAACAGTAAAATTATTAATAATTGTAAAAAGATAAAAACAAGAAAAACTTAACTGCCACGGCTAACAATCCCAAACGCCAAAAAAAATTATTTTTTGGTGAACTGTTATTAAAGATGATATCAGAAACAGCCGGCGAATGGATACCTTTCGCATGAATTTTAAGTATTAAACTAGCAAAAGGTACACACTGCCGTGGCTGCACACGTAACAGGACGCTGGTCCCGTCTGTTCAACTGTGAGCCCTTAAATCGTGAACAACTTTGCATATGTTAGCACGTTAGCTGGAGAATTGATTTCATAACAAAAGAAATTTTTAAACCTGCATATTATGCCACAAAAGGACCGCATTTTAATTGCTTTTTGGACTTACCGAATAGTAAGCCGATAATTGTCCATCTGACCGCAGGGAAGACGGCCTGGATGAGCGCCATGCTTTCCACGTCCGTAAAGAACCGGAAGGTATCCGGTGGAGGCTCGGTGTGATGCAGGTGAAGCGTAGTCCGTAATCCGTTGTCTGGCGACACCTAAATCTCCGGAGTTAATCAGCCAGAAGCCGGATGATTGCTCTGAGCTTCAATGCCACAAGGTCCCAGCCCGGTATATTCTCAGCTGGTTGCAAAAAGCGGCTATTGAATCGCTATTGACACAGGCAGGCAGGATAAAATTAGCGAACCACGACGTACGCGCACATCAGGACAATGGCATCCAACTGCAAAGAAAAAGGCTTTTGTCAGAGATACAGTAGCCAGGAGATGGCCATCTGAATCCAATCGGTCAAACGATAAAGAACGTTCTTCGATGCATATATTATGGCTGTTGAATATTTCGGGCTTTCTCGCCTTTCCAAATTTTCGAAGATTTGATCGCACGAATACAGTAGCAATCACACACCAATAAGACCAGACAGAGAGAGAAATGCAAGGTTTGTAGGAGGAACCGTTAACCGACTGCGCACTGTGCTATGCCGGTAAATGCAGAAATCAGAAAATATAGATGCCCGCTCAGGTACGAATTTGCATACACATGCAACCAATCCGAGGCTTGCCGTACAGCAGACTCCGCCTATTCGAACTCACACCGCATAGGCGCATACAGTGCTGTATCTGATGACTGATCGTGAGTGCCTGGTATCCTGTAGGACAGTGTAGGTACTAGGTAGTGGGCTGAGTGGACGCGTAGTGGACTGGCAGCCCAGAAAACACCAAATCGTTGTTTTGCATATGCACAAATACTTCTTTACAATTTTTTCCATGTACGATTTACAAGTTAATTTTACGAAGAGTTTTGCTCTTCTGCAGCTTTTGTTTTCTCACAGACTTCAGCGATCACGCTTCGGAACATTGTATAAATTGACCATAAGGCATAAGGTTCGCAACTTGTAATCCCATGGCAATAATTATTGCACGATTTGTAAAATATTTACCTCGTTTGCGAAGCGGCGTTAGAACGCATGTAAGCAACCGTTCATTTTTTTTATATCGAATTACTCATATAAGTGCAGAATGGTCTCGTCGTTTTTACGTATTCGTTGTAAATCAGAATCTCTTCTCTATCCATTTGTTAGATTACAGGAGGAACAAATTATTATGCATACCGTGCGCATCGAACAAAACAAACATATATAGGGACAGGCTGATGCATGGAGTGTGACCTCGCGCTGCGTTAACCCTTTCGTTCACCCGTGCAACCCGAGTCGTCATGATTACCTGCTCTCTTCCCATGTCTTCCTTTTTCATTAGTCCCAATTGTACCCTACGGTCATAATATCCTGCCGCATAATTCATATCCACTAATCAATAATGCAGGTAATATTTACTCGCTTATTTTGCGAGATTCCCTAGGGTGACATGCAAAGTAAATGGCTCGATAATATAACAGTGGGCGATCAAAACGCAGTGCATTATTACTTCTATGAAAGAGCCTTTCACCCCGGAGTTGCTTCGTTACTTACTGCAACTTTATAAGCAACGTCGTCCGTAAGCATTGGTAGCACTGCGTCTGTGCAGTCTGCTTTTTGTAGTCACTACTGTCTGCTAAATAAAAAATTAAAAAAATTCCCGGTTAACGGGACTTCGACGTCTGGTCGGTAAAATCGACGACGAATTCGAATGTTGTTCTTGGTTTTGTACAGAGCGCAACAAGTACGTCAGACTGATCTGTAAGCTATCATAATTATATAATGTAAATGCACTGAAATGTTTTCGAAATCAATAAAATTGACCATAGACCCTTAATATAAGACGACGGATAATAATCAATTGGGTACATTCGTACTTTACACAGTTAGGGTAGGCCCGGAACTGGTAGCGCGGTATAAGTACGAAAAAGAAAACCAAGTATCTACAGCACCATACTAATTAATTTGCTACTAGTACTGCTGGAAATTTATTTTGTGCAACAGACTTAAGTTTTGACATTTTGACAATCTCACACACAGGGATGTTAATGACCACTGGTCACTCAGTGGCCCGATTATTTAGAATTTCGCACGCACGCGGTTACATTGAAAACCACGACCATGTGGATCTAATACGAAGCCCGTCGTAAGGCTGGATTTCGCCGTGGAATGACGATGAAATTTTATTCATGATAATAACGCAGGTACCGTTGTTTCCACTTTCAGGGTCTGCTGGATGGGGGTATTGAAGTCCTACTGATGCGCCGGAATATTGTTAGGGTTTCTAAGGTTATTTAGGCATGTATACTGTACGTATATACTGTGGTTTGCTCAGTTCATGGAGTATTTTAAAGATTAAAAAATGGTTACAGTTAACGAATGGGGTTTTTTTATCGTTCTGATCGATTCCGCATTCCCAAGCTCTCGACACTATGTCGAGCGGAAATATGCGTCGTGTTTAGAAATTGCGTGCGTTGTGTAACAAGCAAATTACCAGTAGGACGCAGCTGAGGTGAATCAGTAATATTGTTCTGCGATAATTTGCGTAGTTCAAAACGTTGTTGTTCGCCGGCAGCAAATCATCGCGGCTCATGACTTTTCCACAAATAAGCACTACATTTAGAGAGTTCCCTAGTTTGTAGGTGGAATCAATACTGCAGCGCGCAGAAACCAATCAGGTGTTTTTAACAAATATAGCAGAAGGACTGCGGAAAAGAAATGGCCGATACGGACACGGTGAAGTATCGCTGTTGATTCGCTGTAGACCTCTCAAGTGCTGTTTTAAAGATATCACAAAATAATCGAAAGGGACGGGAAAAAGCGCCTGATACGTCGGTCATCCCGAAATCCAGCATGGAGTTGACAACTCGATGCTGCGTGCATTTAGAAACATGTGGAGGAAGTACTGCAAAAGCATCGTAATCAACTACTGCATCCTCCATGTGCTTGTTTTCGCATCTACTTGAGCTGCACAAGTGTCACTATGCAGATAATTTCAGGAAGATTTCAGGGTAATATGAGGGAACACAATCAGATAATTCGGATTCCATCATCGTCTCACTCCTGACCGTTGCCTCCACCGGAGGCGGAGACGGTGAATATTTATGGTCAACATTGGGAGTCTAGCAAAAAAATAGGCTAATCGATATACGATATGACTTGGCCAGTGTTTTAGTGAACTGTACCACAGTAAATCTGGAAAGTCAACATGATACCAAAATTAGACATTTAACTGTATACGTAACACAGAAATAAGTTTCTAATGTACACTAATGTATCTAACCATTTTGACATTTCCTTCACGAAAACAAACCGCAATTTAGTCGCAAAATACGCTGCAAATCATCACAAATTGTGACAGATTGTGTGTACAGTGTCCTAAAGTAGAGCATCGATGGTCTAATAAATAGGTTTTCTTAACCACAGTGTTTGTTATTACTTTGTATTACGGTACTAGCACGTAAGTAAGTTCCCCCTTGCCAAATTATGCGGTTTTTGCTTTGTAAAACCATAGTTCTGTAAAAAATATATTTATACACAACTGCATGCATGGTACAATATACTGTATATGTACTGCAAAGTGAATACACATAATAGTTGTTATTGTGAAAATAAAATTATTATGTTTTACAACTTACCGAAATCAAAATATAGGGAATACCGAACGCTAAGTTAACCAAACAAGTGGAAAACAGTTTATCGAATGTGTACTTTAGCCAGTTCCTTTTAAATTCTTTAATTTACTTAATCAACCAGTCAAACTGTGAATAAAAACTTTACAATGTAAGCGCACTGATCCACAATTCCATCTTTTTGCAGTGCCATTGGCCATCAGGTAAAACACAGCTGATAGGCAGCAGAGCATGTACACCGGCACTCAAGATCAGCTACCACCGTAATTAATTTTTAAATGTAACACCGCAGCCAACTTTACGACAATTCGCGTGTAACTCTTCGGATTCAATTTGCAAAACCTCTCCGTCACTTTTGCTCAGCGTTTCCGCGATAATGTTGAGGTTTCTTTAAAACATGATGAACATGTTTAAAAATTATGGTTCCACCGGTCACGCCACGTAAGCGATGGCGGCGAAATTAATCACTAAGAAGCTGAGACGTAGAAGAAAATGTCGTCTTGCGTGACCGTTGTTGGTCGGTACTATTCATTTTTCGTGGCGGCTCGCTTGTCTTCCGGTTCTAATAGGTTGTACAATGATCTTCTGCCATCCCAGGCAACACCCAAGCTGTTACTTGACAGATACGGTTGGCAGTAATTGCGTGCGGCTTTTCCCGTTTATATACAGAGGGTTATTCAGCCAAGTGTGGTCAGCGCATTAAAAAAATTCCTATAATTCAGCCGTAGCGCAGAGTCAGATTCTAATAATTGTTCTATTATGACAAATTTGTTTTGATGCTTTTTGCAAATTTTTGTGACAATCGAGCTTAAACAGCCCGCAATATTGGCTACTGACCTAAAGACTCCGACTCTAAACCTTTGACCAGGCAAAATTTGGCTTTCGATGATCTGGCCTTAAAAGGATCGTCTGCTTTTCAAATCTGGATGGTTTTAATTGTAAAAACGACGATCCGAATATTTTTCATAACAAAACGATTCCATATTCTTGCGCGTTCTTGCGGTAGGACGGTTGGAAAAAACGCGAAAACAGGAAGACACTCGCAGGAGCCATGCTCATTGTGCGAATTCTTACTCACGGAGCTATAGCTATCCTTTTCGTTCCTCCACAAACTAAAGTTGTAACGCAGGTCTTTCTTCACCATTTACAATGTTCATTGGTCGAAAAAGACGCTCCGCGGATTAAGCCTGGCAGAGAGGAAGAAGTCATCCAGAACCAGAAATGTGCTCCCGGGAGCACTGCTGAAAAACAAGGATGTTGCTTCCTGATCGAAAAAACTAGCAATTCCTTCTGAAAAAGGATTGTTCGAAACCCCTGACAGGTTTTCAATGGATTATGGCGAAAACCCAAATTTTAAATTAATTTTGAGTAAAGGGAATCCATTTCCTATAGCTGAACTGGTCAACTGTTGCCAACATGGGGGGGATGAACTTAATTTTTTCCTGGGCTACAGGATAGCGAAATCTTGGCTCGGTTGAATTCAGAATATGATTAAATGTTGTGGCTATCTGATACAATTTTTAAAAAAGTAAAATGAGCCTGCAACGGCTAAGCAGAAATTTTCCAAAAAGTGACCACACTTGGCTGAATAACCCTCTGTACAGCTACAAAATCGCTTTTAACGCAAAACAGTCAACAATTTTGTAGTTTTCTGAAACTTGTAATTTCATTCACTGCTCTACATGCTTTAAAATTTTTAAGTTTAATATTAGCTGTATTTGCAGTTTTATATCTTTCTATGCACATAAAACAGTTTTTAGTAACCTATCCGAGCGTTTTTACCGTTTACGTGCATAAACAAGTCAGATTGCTGCATCCTTACGCATAGCACAATACTACAATATATTAATTACAATTCGGCAGCAGATTTATTGACGCTAATACAAGGTGCAAGTTTACAGGCAATATTGAGAATGTCAGATTACTGGCAATATCCTCATAACAGTTTGCTTGTTGCACCAACTGCTCTATAAATTTCTCCGCATATGTGTTTAAATTTGAGGAAATCTAGTCTAGAGATACTAAAATTATACCGCTCTTGTATAATGAATCGAATTCACTCAACGTACAGTTAATACGCAGGAGTCAATTGGTTAACGTACTATGACACTTGCACAAAATCCTTCTCGTGCTTTCGATTTTCGATCTACGCACCTGTGAAAGATGCCCGAATATATTCCTTTTTATTGATAAACTGTGTACAGTATAAATTAGCAAACAAAAAAACAAGTTGTCGGAATCAGTTGCTACCAACCGCTGCAGATATACCATATATAAATAAATAAATATATAAATATTTGACCTATTACACACAATTAAAATGAACAGATGGATCAATCTCTGCTCACCTCACAAGTTATCAGTCTGCTTACGGAATATTTGTTAATTAATTTTCTTTTTCAATTTTGTTCAACTACAACCCACGCGGGTAATCGTGACTGGAGCTTGTCCTGCAGACTGATGGAAAATTTTCAATGCAACCGTACGAGTACAAAGAGTTTATAGAGAAAAACGACTCATTTTACAAACGCTACGCTCACCAGTATACGTTCTTGAGTTCGTTGTCACATTTGCGGAAAAGACGAGAAAGATGCAACAAGTCGCCCGGAACAGATCGAACTCATATCTGCCCACATAGTATGTTGGCCAGCTCAACAAAAGAAAATAGATTAATACTCGTAGGGCGAAATTTTTTAATATCAGGTTTTATGTTTCATTACGCGCTCCTTGATGGCTAAAGAATGGTGATCATGAGCAAGTCGTGCGCAGATGTGATGACAGCAGAAATGATACATGAACAATAGCGACATACTATTGACCCATAAATTTCACAATAAATATTTATCACGCAGAGTCTTGATAATTTTAACAAATTTGTCAGATAAGACGATATTACTTCGCAAAACAAGGATTGGCTCTACGGTACAAATAATTGTCTTTCTCGCAAAAGTTTTGGTTCGAATCCACCTGGTTACAAGGGTGTAACCAGAAAAGCATTGATCAGGAATTGCTTTACTATTGTATGCCATATAAAAATGTTTGGAAATATTATTAATATGAAAATTAATATATTTAAATACACAAATAATTTTTACCTTTTTGCTGCAAATTAAATTGCATGTACAATGAGGGTTGTTATTTGATTATATATATTGACAGTATAAACTAAATTTCCTAAACAGAATTATATATAGCTCGTGAAATTTATTTGTATAAATTTCTTGATTTTAGGATTTGCTTAGCTGACCTTTGTTGCAGGTTTGCCACAAGGGGCACAAAATTACTTGTGTACAACTGCCTGTACGATGCCTGCGCAAAAAGTAATTTTTCTGATTTCAGTTACCAATAAGATTCGCAATAAGATTCATTTTGAACCCTTCAATCTCACAGGTATCACCATTTGCAACCAAAAATACCATGCCAGAGTTGAACCAAACCGCTCTTGTTAAACATTAAACACCAGGTGGCCAGAGTTTACTGATGGCACATTGTGCTGTATAACTGGCACTCGCCCTCTGAAAAAACTGCACCAATCAATCATAATGGTCGAAAAACCAGATCTATCATGAATATTGCGAATAATGTGATCATAATCTAACATTGTCAACCTCTTAAGCACTTATTAATAACAGCTCTAGTCTGTCCGATAGGCACATCGCAACTACGTAGTGTTTACTATTAATTTCCAAAGTGTGAAGATGTGCATGCGCAGATACGCCGATCTATAAATGCAAAAATGTCGGTGACGTGTTGTTAGCGCTATCGCAGAAACATTTCTGTTAAATAAATTAGCAATCTGATAACCATATAACTATGTAGTATGGACTATGGATAACTTATAAACTGCAACAAAATTAAACGAGCAATGGAAAGTTTTATTCTGAAAAAAAACGTGGTACATAGATAATTACAAGTTACAATACAGTATCATTCAGAATTTTTAATCTGCTGAAGCCATTTAGGACAATATCAATCTTTTAATAATTCTATATTAATTAATTAAATGCAAATATTTGAATTCCTCATCACGAAACACAGATCGTACGATTTAAATTTGATGGATCGAATGGAAATCATATGCCACTCCTGACGTTGAGTACGATACACCATGCTGACACCATTGTGTGTCTGACTCATATTAGGCGCATTTTGTAGCAATTATCACAATTGTCTGGCGACAATAAAATTTGTTTTTCTTAAAAGGGTAAATCTTCTACGCCTGCATAATTTCGCTAGTCGTGGTGAATAATAAATGCAGAACTGAGACAGTTTAAGCTTTTGTAATAAATAATTATAATTTCATAATGTTGTTTCCTGGGAAATAGTCGATCTTGCCAAGGCGCAGTGCATTTGTCGAAAACCGCATCCTCTGGCATTACTGTACGCGACGGTGGACGCGGTTACAGTGTCCAATGTAGAACAAAGCAACGATTTCTTATTGTGGCTGTAAATAACCTTTTGCACACAAAGTTATATTCATGCAACGCCGTTTTGTCATTTTCTTGTATTATATTTTATGACGGCTTCAATCATCAATCCTCGGATGCCTGACAGTGCAGCAAATGGTTGAAAGTAAAATAGAAATTAAAAAAATAATTTCGTTTACGGCGACGAAATTTTCGGTATGATTAGTGATGCGAACACGGAACCGAGCATAAGTCAGAATGTCAGCTTTCCGTTCCACCTTGGAGGCAGCTTCGACAAAGTTGCCGACTATCCATGCGGTAATACAAGCCATTACTGGGCACTTGATATGCGCATCTTACCGGCTTGTTCTTTTGCTTATTACCTTTGTAGCAGCGGAGAAAAAAGTTATAGTTTTCGTAAGCGCAAGAGACACAACACAGCCGCCGTGGCAGCGTAGACGACAGCATTGTTGTCGTAACGCTAACCATAAGAATCTGTTTCCGTTTTTGCACAATGCGATTGTTATTCAACTGTTGTAGAATGTACTTGAGCCTGCCACAATTGTGGAGTTCGTGCAAATGCTCTAAATCACATTTGTTGCTAACTAGCGTATATAACAAAATCCTATCTGCGGAAGCAACAACACGTTCCTAGCGTGCAGCATATTTCTGTTTTGTAAGAAGTCGTGCGATGCATATTTCTTTCCGGTAACGTAAAGCACTTAGCAAGACTGCATGAATTCGTATTTTATTTCTTTTTGTCGCTTATTCAAACCGTTGGAATAAAACTTTATGGAATTTAAAATCAGCCGCAGTGCATGCGGAAAGATAATTTACAAAAAATTCAAAAATAAGCGCTCTGGGTATACACTGTTCAAAATATGGCAATAATAGCAGACCGAGTTGTTCTAACTAGTACTACAGAGTACAGTAACTTATTGCGCAGATATTAACAGTGCACGCATTTAACAGGTAAACAAAAAATAGTTATTCGATCATTTCGGAGATAAAGATGGTTCTCACACAGTTCTTACACTTACTACATTGTATACACACAATTTCCCCTCACCTTATCCCCTTGATCTTGGAAATAATTTTCACTGTACGGCCGTTTATTAATTTCCGGTAACTTACCAACAGGAAATTCTACCAAATGTATTAAGGTATATTAACCCACTAACGTATAATACGGTACATTTTTTAATAGGTATCCCGTAACAGTTTATCGAGCGGTGGTCAGCCACATAGTCAAACAGGAAAGCAGCTCCCATACGAAACTTACCTCAAATCAAATAGCCTCGATCGACCGGTAAAAATCCGGATAATATTGTTAATTCCATCCTCATTTTCCAATTGAACTTCTGGACATTTCAGTCTTGCGCATGCAGAAGAGCACGTACGAGTATATTTCAGGTAGAACTCACACAGTTGTGATACCGATAAGGATCCCGGAGTAAACTCGTTGCCGTATGCTCGAGATCTTCACCAGCAAGGTTGTCCGAATAATAACGGGTACGAAATCTTTAGGCGGTTTCATTAATTTCTAATTGTCACTGTTTTTTGATGGACGTCAGACTCTGCAGCTTGACGCGAGAAGCACCGGCGATGCACAAGAGAACCGCGCAAAATTATTTGTAAGGCGAGTGTACTAATGCACACCACTAAAGTAAATGACTTTGCAGCTTACTTGGCATCCGATGAACTGCACTTAAGACTGGCTGATTTTAGGTTACCGGTCAGTTCGTTCCACCCATTCGCTGGGTTCTTCAATCAATTTTTGCCTGTGGACACGAAGCACCAAAGATTTTATTTTATAATTGAAAATAGATACAGGCTTATCCTATATAATTATTGAGCAGCACCGAAGGCTGTTGTATAAAAGCGTCCATGATATTTAACTTCAGTGCAACAAATTTTGCCCGGATGAAGATAACAGTTTACTCTGCTTCAGAAATGTTGTAGCTTTTTTAAAGCATAGTTATTTACTGCATTTCGCTGCCCTAATGTTTTTCTCCCGCTGAATAAGCTACAGTATCGTTAAAGCAGTTTATATTAATCAAAGTAGGCTTTAGGTAATATAGTTTTAGCAAGCCAATGGATCTAAAACCTTCTGTCATAATTTAATTAACGTCTTTAAATTATGCAGTTTTTAACTACTGTTATCCAAATTTAACGTTGATCAAAATGGCACGGAACGATGTAAAACCGTATCGGCTTTTTGATGTAGGATTAACCTACTCGATTAATGTACTTTCAACCACATATCTGCGTGGCCATAGAATCATTTATGGGAATCTCTAGAGTTGTGATCAAGTGTTGCTGTTTGTGCAATTAGATAATGCCGTTTAGTTGATACGTGTGCTGATTTTGTTTTGTGGTCTTACCGGACACTTATATAAAGGCGATTTTTATGATTGTGCTTAAGAGGTACATAAATCTGGTTTACACTCTAATAACAACAAATCCGCGGCACGGGAGTAACGCATGATAGTGATCTCGATTTTAAAAAATAAACACCCAACTGGATTTTGCTTACGCAGTGGCTTCGTTTAATTGTATTTAATAAGGTCAATCACTTAATTGGTCAATTAAACTGATTTCGAACTTGTTTCTTTTGTATTTTCACATTGATTAATGATGATATGTACACCGTGTAAGTGCATATATAGGGATTTCTGCGCCAGCCTGGAGTAAGTAATGCAGTCGTTTATGCTGGTGTAATTGGTTTTCATTTTGCCAAGAATTTGCGCAAACCGAACGGTGTGGTCAGTTTCTGTAACGTTAAATTTTAACTTAATTAGACTGTAACAACGTCAATATGTAATTAAGTAAAGAGTTGCCACTATATTTTGCAGAAAAATTTAGTTATTATGCATGTACAGTATAAAGCTTGTCACATAAGCACAGCTTGTCGCGAAGCCCTTTAATTTTGTTAGGAACAGCAATGTTCCGGTTTAAATCAGGAGTTTACCTGTGAGAAATCTCTCCGAGAGATTATTTGTACTTGTGTGATGATTACTGCCTCTAAGCACATGTTCTGTTTAACATATTTGGAACTTTTAGAAAACTATGTACTTTGAAGGCCACAGTTATAACAACCAACTTTTGACGACTTGCAGATAGCGGTGTGCTCGCGGTGGCACCCAGTTCTTTTGTAAACGAAGTACGGTTCGTAATGAAGTCAGGCATACCATGTCCACCCTTATGCTGTAGAAAATAACCGTGAACACGTTGCAACCATGTAATTATTAAATGCTGGGTGGTTTAACGAAAGTACAATTCGAAACAAAAACCCTGTAAAAAAGCGCAATAAATGCATGTGGTGCGCGACGTGCACAAAGTACGAACAGCAGTCAAATTATGCAAAAGTGCGCCGCACTTGTACGTATCTGTATATCTATACTCATCTTAATTTCTATATAATATACTCAGACTAACTCAGTAGGTATTGAGAATGTTGATCGCGTGGGGAGCGTTCTTTACAATTACGACTTAAACTTCAAAGTTTGGAAGCGATTATTGGTTGATCGCTACAATCGCATGGCTATTCATAGGATATACGCACTTACTCTGTAGTTCACAGTAGTTGTGCTAATAATATAATTACAGTTTTACCTCAAATATATTCGGCTTGGGTTTTTATTGCACGATATGTAAATTATACCTATTTGTACCGCAATGGTAATTAAATCAAAAGTTAAGATATTGGTCGCTCTCCAACCCGCTCCTTAAATGTTTGGAGATCTTAAACTTAAACGTTCTGGGGGTGACACGGAACAAACTTGCAAAAACATACAAAAGCGAGATTCAATAACATGTACTGCTTCGCTCAAGATTAGATTTAAGATTTAGTTAGGGCTAGCCGGCTACCCACTGTATCCACTACCCAGTTCAGATACAGTACTCGTATGCCGCATAATGCGGTACTTGTGGGCCAACACCACGCTCACAGAGTAAAACAGGAATGAACGAACAAAAATGAAAGGTAAAATATTAATGTTCATTGGTTCTTTCTGTACTGTAGTACACTTCGAAGTACTTCTACTGAAGTTGCATTATGCACAGTCTCGCATACTGTTAACTAAGAAGTTGAAAGTTGTGGGATTACCACAAAAATCGAAAGGGTGCCGGTCAAGTTCTTTATATTCTATAGCATAAGATTTAAACATTTTCATATACGCATACTGGAAGTTAAATTTTCAGCTAAACTGCATAAATGAGTACCGGTGTTTGGGAAGTAAAAAATTCTGTTAATTTTGTGCTTGTGAAATACAGTATAACGATGTAGCATTTTTCTGTACAACTTAAATTTGTTGTGCGCGATTTCTAATGTGGCATGCATTAGCTCGTCCAAACAATTGTTTTCGGGTGTGTGAAAATGCAAAAGAACGCGAAGACGTTCCAAGAAGCATTCGACGACCTAGTTTACACTGCTTAATACAAGATGAGTAATGAATCTTTATAACCATGAAACCATCAAAAATGGTAGCGACTATAAAATCAAAAAACGCACTCAAAGAAAATCGAATGTTCTGTTAAAAAGATTTGGCTGGCATATTATTTGGCGAAAAATTGTGCGCTTATTAGAAATGAAGCACTTATTAATTGTGATCTTTGGTAAGTCAATTGAAAGGTCATTTCGTTACTGTAGACACGCTAATTTTGTGCGTTTTTGATAAAAGTTTAGAAGTGTACGGATTTGATTATTAAAATTTGACGCTTTAATTACTATATTACGGGAATGTTTTAAGGCTTATTGTTCAAACAAGCCCAGTCGTTCTTCGGTGGAGGATTCGGTGGGATTGGTCTGGGACTGGGCTACGGTTGGTGGGGCGGTTATCCTGGATTCGGATTCCCTTGGCTGGCACCCCCGCTGGGTTACCAGATCAACACCGGCTCCATTTATGGCAGCCCCGGTGTGGGATTCTACTATCCGCCAGACCGTGGGGGTGCCGGTGCATATGGTGGTGGCGTGTCGAGCTATAGCGGAGGTTCATCCGGAGGCGGGCCGAACATGCCTCCCAGTAATCCCGATATTCAGAACAAGGGTCTGCAGGCGGCTCCCGATAATTTGATTCCGAATACGCCAGCAAAAAGTATGCCAGGGACGTCCAGCTCCCCGGGAATCGCAGGCAGCTCACTTGGTATTAACCCAGTTGCGACCGGTACCGGCTTAAACGCAATCCCCGGCAATATACCCACTGGAATACAAAGCTTGGCGGGAAGTGTTTGTAAGTGCTCCAGAATCTTGCTCAATAATTACATTTTATGAGTGCGTCGCTCATGAACAGTGATAAGTACTTAGCGCAGTACTTAGCGCAATACACGATTCACCTACGCAGGTTGAATCACTCAAGTGTTGCAGTATGCTGAAAAGTTGTACGCTGTTGTTACGATTCCTGTAATTTGCCGTTTAACATTGCCGTGAAAACGATTGGATATTCTATTTGCCCAAAATATTGGTTAATTTTTATTCTAATTATTCATAATTATTTTTAGCTGTTACCGGCGGCGCACCTGGAAACGCAGGCGGTGGTGTTCCCGGCGGCGCACCTGGAAACGCAGGCGGTGGTATGTACATACAATTGCACAACACGAAATGCTAAAACGCTAACCATGTTAAACAAATTTTTTGGAATGGTTTTAGGTTCAAGCGGAGCTGCCGCAGCAGGTGGCGCGAGTTCGGGAGGAGCGGCTGGCTCCGGTGGTGGCGGCGGTTCTGGAGGTAGCAGCGGTGGCCGCTAGGTATATTAGCACAAGGCTGATCTTCGGGTGGAACTGTTACTATTGTTGTTATAGGTTGCAATACACCGTACACATAATATGCGTTAATTTCACCATTTTTAACAGCGGTTTGCACATGTTTGTTTGACATATTGTTTTATCGTTTTGAAGCGCTGATTTAATTCTCATTCTTTTCTTAGTTTAGCCGGAAAAAATTAAGAGATGATATCGAACATGAATAAATATAATAAACGGCACGAATACGAGATTGCAGAATGGTTCTTTTCGGCCGACAGCCGTCAGTATGAACAATTATTTTCTAATGCAGTAAAACCGCCTTTGCAGAAGCGCCAGGAATATATTTTGTAGTTTTTAACTTATTTTTAAACGGCTTATCCCTACGAGTAATAGTATAATATCATACAGTATAAAAGATTTGTAGTTCAAAGCGTCAACGTCTGTACATGTACATAAGGGCGCGTGAAGACACAAACATTACATTTGTAAGATGCGTAAAGATGCGCCATTGTGGAACGTATTTACTATTGTTGTATGGCCAATGACCTAATAACGCGCCGGCCAAGAAAGCGCTCTAATATAATGAATTATGGTGGCTGCCTTTCTATGTATACGAGGATCACTTGCAAAGATCATTAACAGCATTTAAAGTTTTTGCGTGAGACTTATTTTGAGTGTTCGCTGACGATGCAATAAAACAATAATCTCACTCCAGTGTTCTAATTTAAGTTAATTTCGAGACTTAGAAAAGCTTTGATTAATCTGCTACAAATTAGGCAGAAGAACCGATATGATGACCACAGAGAATTCCGATGCTCCGATTCTTCGATCAGCATTATTACCACGACGCTTACGGCTGAGTTTTAGACTAACCAACCATTACCCTGGTACAGCTCATCTTTTCCGGAATGCTAAAAACAGTCATTTAACAAGACTCTCTATTGCTGATGATTCGAGCCACCAACATAAAAACATGATAACTCTACAGACATTTCTTGTGATCACTCTGCTTCCCTTGCTAGGTAAGTTATTATGAAAACTTTGTTGGGTACCGACTGCCGACATTATACCAGTGCAATTAGTTCGCAGATTAGGAAGTACTGTGCGGATAAAATTCATACTTGTATGCAAGCACAGTCCCGAGTACGACCTTTTGTGTGATGATAGAATTTAAGCAAATAATAATTAGTAATTTTTGTTATGCTTTGCTACATGCGAAAGATATAATATTATGATCAAGAGGTGCTTTACTTCTTATGCTTGTACCGTTAACTACTCAGGGCATGTTGTCCACTACGTACTGGCCTTCATCGGCGGTTATGGTGGATTCGGAGGAGCCGGCCTTGGTTTAGGATACGGCTGGTGGGGCGGATATCCCGGCTTCGGGTTCCCCTGGCTGGCGCCACCACTTTCCTACCAAATCAACACCGGATCTATTTACGGCAGCCCCGGAATCGGCTACTACAATCCCGGACCGGGCTCACTCGCCAACAGCTATATTGATCTGACCGGCACATTAGCCGCCAGTGATACTAGTGGAGCAATCATATCCAAGGGACCTCCTGCTGGCGGTCCACCTGGAGGTGCCCCAGCAGGCGGTGCCCCGGCCGGCGGCCCAGCGCCGGCCGCCAGCCAAAATGCCCAGAGTACGCCGTCCATTCAGCCACAGAATACTGGCAGCTTGGCGGCTAACCAGAACACCCAGACTGGATCTGAGACCGAGGGAGTTAAGAAAAGGCAAAAACCTGGAGGAGGTATGTTATACCAGCAGGAACTCATAAAATATGATGTACCGTTATATGGTAGGAAGCGATTCACCTAAATTTTTGACGGAAATCGGAATTGATACAATTACACAATTAGAACAATTAAGTGATTCACCAGTTGCTACAATTATTTCACTAGTAGGTGGTTGATCAGACGGTTCATAAAATAATGACGTTTATAAAAAATTTCTGATACCTATGTGGCCTTCACTGAAATAACTTTAGTTACAATACGTACCTATATATGCCCTAACTGAGGTATGGATACAATTACAGATAGTTATAATGATTATTTGTCATCGTTTATTGTCTGGGCAGGTGGAGGAGGAGGCGGTGGTGGAGGCGCCGCTGGGGGCCCAGCGGGACCATCCTCTAATGGTAAGTTTTTATATTTACCGTTTATCATTTTGTATGATATAAGCTCCGCGTAACATTATCAATCCTTATGATTTAACGAATGTGCAATTAATTTAGGTCTTGGAGGTGGAAATTCTAATGGAGGATAATCTGTTGTTCTTTAAGTTTATTCATTTTTTATATGGATCTCGAATGTTTTTGACAGTTTATCGATCATAAGATGACAATGCGATATTACCAGTAAAACTCGAACGGCAATTGGCAGTTATCTGTACATGAAAAATGTAGCTGTTTCCTGTTATCATTATACTTGTTCTAAAAATCAGCCCACCGAACCCTCGAATCAGCTAAAAATGCCAGAAATGCTCTTATTTAGGCACTTACATGTCTGTCAACTTTAGAGAATAACGAGTAAAACAATAACTTCACAAGAACAAGGTTTCTTGCTAGGTACTGTACGTCGGCTCGCTTACTGTATAAGCCGACTGATTTTGCCACTTCGGGTTCTATTGACAAGTCTTTAGCTCCTGTTCCCCAGAGATATAAATTTCAAACGCTGCCGGCACCAATTGGTATCTTTGGTGCAGCCAGCAGCTGAGCGCTGCTAGTTTCCCTCTTCCGGTGTGTCCCGCTGCCGCACCAGGTTCATGGAGATGTAGGTGGCGTACACTCCGTACGTATGGACATGCGTCGCGGCCAGAGTATTCACACAGGTCACATCCAATGCTAGTGGTCTACCAGGCTCCCAAGGCGCGCAAGTAATTACATCATGCCTTTGTCATCTTTAGCGAACAGGCTGCTTGGGGATCTATTCTTGATCGAAAATAGGCATTACTCCGTCTTCGAGTGAACTCTCCGCCAACGCCGTCATGGCTTGGCAGCCTTTCTGTGGCTCGTTTGCAGCGCAGTACGTGCCGGCCGAGTTCGCCGGCAATCGAATTCTCGACCATTGCCACCGTAATCGAGTGGCAATCGTCGAGATATACGGTTTCTCAAGTTGGTTTGCAGCTTCGTAACAAAAGGTCATCGCAAGAATTTCTCAGCAACAGATTCCGGAGCAATCAGCACTCAGCTAGTCTTCGCTGTTTCAGCTTGTACTTGTTCGTTTGTTTCCTTATTCAGAAACGTAAACGCGTGGTTTTTTTCGCCAGTAATTCGGAATCTTTACTGCCATCTCTTTCATAATATTCATTCTTCCTAGCAACCGGGGACGTATTTGATGTTTACGGGGTGAATTTTTTCGCGGAATCTGGCTATCTTTTTGCGCATTGCCTGGGATATGTCAAAAAGCAAAGTGAGGGTTTAAGATTTTGTAATACTGCAGCACTTTCTAACTAAAAATTCAAAAACATGGTTAGTTACCAATATCATCACTACAGTACTAGTGATTTGTCTTTTAATGGAGAAAGTGAACAAATAATGCCTGTGTCTAAAAGGGAACGCAATCGTTCGACAGGCAGTAGGTGTACACCTACTATAAAACCAGCATTTCGGCCGTTTCTGCTGTTTTCATCCGAAAATCTTATTAACAACGGAGAGGATTTGTTTGGTGGAGGTGACACGCGTTTAACCAGTGGTAAAACTGTACTTACGTTATCTTATTTTAAGACTTGCCTATTGTTATACGAGTATTTTAGGAATTTGTACTGTTTACGACAAAAACAAATATGCCTACAGATTTATGCTTAGGATTTGGTCTTACGCGAGCAAGATGGAGAATAATTAGATTTGGAAGAAACAGGGAGCAATTACCAAACGGCGATCAACCTCCAACTCCGCTACGACCTTTGCATCGAACGCTATGGGGAAGAAATGTTTGTGCATGTATATTACTAGTACTTTTTAATAAGATAACACTGGAGTTCTTTTACTGAGCTTTCTTTTAAAATCATCTTTACCAATTTTATGCCCGTATAGTGCCCCTTTTCCGTACATTCATACAGTATGCAGGTTGATTCTTACAATCAACAATAGTGGAAATATAATTCAAAAATACACAGCTGCATAGGCAATTAGGGCATGTTAAATATGGTGCGCAATTTGCTTCGCATATGCATTATATTTCTTACAATAAATTAAATTGTGATCACGGCAGCTTTGCTTGTTTTGAATTAAGCGAACAAGAAGGACAAACGCACCGCAGGCTGAGACTCCTATGGAAGAGTCTCCTCCCTTCCGGCAGTTGTTTCGTGCTCGACATCATCGTCATCGTTTTCGACAGCTATGGAGATCATCGAATTCGCTGACTGCTGGTCATCAGCTCCATCAAAGACGCCGTTCCGGGACGCGAGCATTTGAACTGATAGCCTAGTGTTTCTGTTAAATTTAAATTAATCACCATGATTACCGGTGTGTTTCAGGTTATCATCAGATACTATGTATGCATCTAATTGCACATATTCTTTTTAAATGCAGGATAAGCTGAGTGTTAAACCATTTGCTTGTATTTTGGCTTTTACTTATGTAAGACTTGCGGAGTAATCCAGCTGCATGTTCTCTTCCTTCACGCTAATTTTAACCGGATCCATCGTTTCGATTATACTCCCCGGTGGTTTAAAATTTCCCTTTCTGTGTATGAGTACTAACGAAAGTGCGAATCTACAGTTATAAATTACATGTCTGTTTGTGACCTGTCACGGCCGCATTAATACTGAGTTAATTAACTGCTGCTGTGTGTATTACTGTATCCGTATAACTTTTCGGTTAGAAATGCAGAATTACACAAAACCTGGTATCAAATCCTATTGGCAAGTCTTACAAAATGTACGCGCCAAAAGTAAGGAAATGTTGTAATTGTGTAGTACAGTACTTTTCCCGTACAATAGGTATATCCACCAGTTACCGGCTCGTTGACCCTCGACAATAAGACTGTTAAGTACTCGTAGATATGTTTAATAAAGCCTCAAATTCGACTTCTAATAATGCACTGTACCTAAGCATATGGGCACGTTAGACTTGATTCGATGTAAATGTGGTGTTCTTGCAAATTTATAGTCACCACTTAATTATTATATGACGTATTAAATCTATTGCAGTGTCCATCTGACTCAAGCCTACTACTCTAATAGTGCGAGTACAAGTACGAAAATAAAAGTATGTAGATAAGTAAAAGCAACATTAACTGAAAAACGGACAAATTAACTAGAATTATTGCACTCTTGTACGTTTCTGCGCAGGTGCGAGTAACAATTAACTTGAATGTGTAAAGTTCAAGTACATTCGTTGCCGCAAAAAGTTGGTTGCTTTCTTTTGTTATGCAACGTTTCGAAATCAGTATGCACTAGTATGTGCGCGCAAATGTTTTATTACCGAGCGGATATGACTGCCATTTTTATATTATATGACAGAGGCGTCTTTGGTATTTTTGCCAATCTGTAATGTTATACATAACATGTCACGACGTAATGTTCACTTAGCGGCAGTTTCACATCAGGCAAAACCATCAAGTTATCAATGCCGTGAGTAAGATCAGATGATAAAATTTGGTTATTACGCAGTAAAAATGTGTGTAATTTATCCTATGCATCAAATTATGCAATATTAATTGTTAGTACGAAATATACAAACAAAAAGAGCAATCTGGGCACAGATTTACACCTAGGCTTTTGTTCCTCACGGCACAGTTAAACGGCTCAACCGGAACACCAAATTAAATACCACTATGCGAAAAATGCTGAGTTACGGTTTATATCACTCACCAGTATTTTAGACGGTGTTGATTAGTTGGCAACTATTTTTTGTTATTAGTCATTTTTATGCTAAATCCTTTTGTGTATTTCTGCAGGGATTCCAGGCGGGCATTTTTATTGTGCACGTATAGGTATATAAAAAAGCGTTACGCCGGCACTGCATTTGGTTGTGTTCGCGGCATTTTGAGTTTCACTCTGCTCATCTTGTGTATAGGTCTATCCGCTGACAATCCGTCTATTCTTAAATACATAGTTTACTTAATCAATTGGCTTTTCTCGCCCGCTGCGATTTGTTTACCGCCAATTGATTGCGGTTTGGTAATCGTTACAAAACAATAATCGCCGATTCGTATTTTTTATTGAGCCGTTATTGTTTAGTCTATGTGTACTCTCTCAAGTAGTTAAGACATACTGCTTTTTCTGCATTGCCTTCCGCACTGGTTTTACCTTTTTTGATCTTGTTACTTTGATGACGCCGGTAGTCTGCGGTAATCGTCAGTAGATGATCCACGGAACGACAAAATCTCAACTTTTACGTTGATTGCTACTGCAAGTAGCACAGGGGATTTCTAACATCTCGCTGGATTACTTTCCCTGCGATCTTCGGTGGATTTGTTATTGTACCATTATTCCGCAGACGAAGGCCGGCAAGTTAACAGTTTAGGATCATAAAGATTTGGACCAGTACACTACCCCAGGTACGACACGCCACTCCATTTTTAGTAAACATCAATGTGATAGTTAGAAAAGTTATATTTTATGAGACGGCTAATTGTACAGTTTGTTGTAGCATAATTTCGCTTGTCGGCTACTTTAGCAGTTTCGCATACAATTTACATGAGCACTGTCTCATCTAACTTTCAAAATGACAGCTGTTTTGCCGGCTGGTTTAATATCAATAAGCACATGCACGTGCAGTGTTCGTTGTCGCCTTTCAACTGCGCACAGACTATCAGCTGTGTTTTCGACTGTTTTGTAGCGTTTTTGTATGAAACTGCGCCGACCATATACCGGTAATTGATTTCGCCCTACAATTAGTACGGCGCGTGCATAATGCAGCAGTATAACTTCAGTCTACTGTAAGCCCGAAACTGCCGGAGTAAATTATAAGTATTGGTCAAGAAAAAGTTATCAGTCTTATCGTTTCCTCTGCCTTATCTGCAGTACAGTTCGCTGGACAAATGATCTGCGGCATTGTTCCCCCTGGAACCAATACGCCGAGAAAAGTCACTGAATGTAGGGCGACGAAAAAACAATACCCACTTTCGCTTTCTTATATATTCAGTGAATCTGAATGCCATCAAAACCTAGAGAAGCTAAGAACTGAAGGGATAGAGAGAAAGACATTGATCGTTCTAAAAACTTTCAATGACAATAAAAGTGCGCATCATTTCGGATGATCAGTCGATGATGGCCAGTACTATAGTAGCTCAGCAGTGTCAGCATTGATTGTGACACTTTCTAACTCGGCGACTCATTTCCGTATTTTTACTAACTATATTAATTATTTATGTTTGTTGTACTTGTTATGTCTGTAATTTAATAACCACCTTTTACAACACTATATTTGGTTCATCTCTAAATCGAATGCCATATGGAGTGATAATAAGGCAACGCCCTTGTCATTAATTAACGATTTATTGCCGGTAAGCAGAATCGAATTTACGGAGCTGACCAAATACGATGATTTCAATTCAGATTTCATGCAGGCAACGAGTTCGTTTGTTTATACCGAAGCAGTTTACTGGCATGATTTTTGCCTTAAGGTTGCGAATTGTGATAGAAGAATCTTAAGATAACTACTAACGAACTCAACAATTTCTGTTGTTCCTTTCGATATAAAATATGACGTGTATATGGTACAGACAAGTCTGCTGTACGGGTGGGAACCGAAAATAGTCAGCTGTAGCCAAAATCGTGCACTTGCAATTCGGCACTTTTATCCCAGGATATTATGTTATCCACACATTTTACTGAGAATTAAACACCATGATATCTGATGTGTATTTCAGATTCCAGACTCTGGTCGTACGATGCTTACTTCCTTCCCGACGTATTTTACCTGGTTGGTCTCTCTGCTTTCGTTTTTCCTTTCTGCCACATACTCCCAGTGTAAGTTACGAAAACAAATTTGCAGAGTAAATTCCTTTATTTTTACGATCTCGTTTGAGCGAGTATCGATGCATAAAAGCACGGAGGCTAATCGTCGAGAATCTCCCTCCCGCCTGTGATTATTACATGCACCTTTAATTTATGGGCATCCTTAAAATATTATTAATTAAACATTTTTTGTACGATTGTAACAATTGTGCGGGCAGAAATACAGTACAGTACATGTAAGCGCGTTGATGCTTCACCATGTCATGGTAATGCGGACTGTGCGGATATCAGGGATATGTACAACATACATATATACAACATTACCAAACGCGCATTATTTTGCAGTTTGTGGTCGAGCTCCACCGATAGCATCTGGTCGCATTGTTGGAGGACAGCGTGCATTTTTTGGGCAGATTCCTTGGCAGGTTTCCGTACAAGCCTTCGGGACTCATTTCTGTGGAGCCGCTATTTTGAACGACAGATGGATTATTACAGCTGCTCACTGCGCATCCGCGTAGGTGTACACATCGATAAATCATTATCTACTGAAGTGACAATACTTCCCCACCAAATTTGCAGAGTACAACGCAATCAGTTGACGTTGGTCATCGGCGCTCTGGATATAACGAAGTTTGATGCTTTTCTGCAAATGATCCCGGAGCAGAGGTTCGGAGCCGATATGATTATCCTTCACGAGAGCTTTAACCGCCGGCAATTGTTGTTTGACATTGCCCTGATTCGCTTGGACCGGAGGATAAGTTTTAACGGTCAAGCGCAGCCAGTTTGTTTACCGCAGCAGGATGAGGATTTTGTTGGTGACATGGGATTGGTTTCCGGCTGGGGAAAGCTTAGCGAAAGTAAGAAGAATGGTTACAAATGTTTAATATTAGCTCCGTACAAATAAACTCCCTAACTGGCCAATTTGGGCAATTAATTTACCAAGTAAGTACACATCTACGGTTCTGCAGTATAGTCAGCCGGTTTTAACGGGCTGTACAAAAATATGATTTCACCTAAGTACGGGCACATATATTTATGTACTTGTATAGCAGATTTATGCAATTATTTAGGCCAGTAAACTTTGTAGTTATGCAGTCTTGTGCAATATACTGTAAATGCGATTTTAATTTAAGAAAGCTTGGAAATTTATCGGGGTAATAATTACATGCACAATACAGTTAAACAGCGGTCACAAGCGGGCATGAAATTTATTTTTGCTTTAACTGATCTTGTGCATAGATGACGTCGGATCTTCCGCTACCATGAATTTTGTCCAGCTACCTATCATAACTAATCGTGACTGCCAGATGATGTTTGGTCAACGAGATCCTCCTCAGCGAGTAATAATTAGGAATGAATGGATTTGTGCTGGTTTTCGGGAAGGCGGAAGAGATGCCTGTCAGGGAGACTCAGGTAATTCCCTCCACGTTTTTGTACGCAATTCGCTTTTACCAGTAGTAAAACGAAATGTAGCTGAACAAATTTAACAGCCACAAGCATGCATAAGATCATAAACGATGTAACGTCCAGCGTAATAAAGTTTGGGCCAGCGTAACTTTAACCGCAGACGTAGTTAGAGTATTGTGTATGTTGCAACCATTCTTTGCAGTTTCACTCTTGTGGAAGTGATGCAAGTTTAAAGCATAAATCTTTGTCAGTGTTACAGAGTGTGGCAGTACGTATACCAGAAAAATGCAGAATGCGTCAAACCAGCAGCCAGCGTAATATCTGTATATAGCGTAAACTTTGCCGTATCCGTTTTAACAAATCATTAATTGCGACGATGACCAACACAGTACTAATAGTAATTATGCGTACACACGATATTAGCAATTAATTACAAACAATCATAGAACAACTTTGAATTCTTCGTGCCGCTTCGCACTTTATTTAATTTGCTTGCGTGTTTGGGGGAAGAGGGCATTTTGTGGGGACGGAGAATAGTTCTTGGCTCCGAATGTGCCCCACACTTGTACCGTGATCTGCAGCTCTTCATCTCTTTTAATAGGCGGCCCAATGACTGTATTTAGAAACGGAGTCTGGGAGATTGTTGGAATAACATCCGGTAAGATTACTGTATCAACGCATTGCATATGTAATGTATCGTACGGCCGATATTTTATAACTAAGGCTGCTTTTATAATTAATGCAAATTTTACAGGCGGGTTTGGATGCGCACGAGCAAATTCACCTGGTATTTTTACGAGAGTGTCGCGTTTTGTTGATTGGATTAACCAAAAGATTGCCGCCAATCCATAGTTTGCGAAACTAGAACAAAAATATTTGGAGCTCTAGCCTGATTCTAATCTGTACTGTTACGATGCTTGTTTTATGTTTTGAACAAACTAAGTCGCCTCTTTGGCAGCTTTTCTGGATTGTTGTCTTTGCCCCTTTTTTAATTGTAAGATTTATCTGTTTCTGAAACCGTTTCAAAGAGCTAAAATGATCTCTTTTCAAATAAATGCTTCCCTATCCAATTATCACAATTATCAATCCTAGACAAAACCGTCTTCATATTTTGGCCGAAAGGTCAAGTTGAGATACTGATTGCAGCGTGTGAGAACTAACGTATTTTTATTGAATTTCCAGTAGCACATTTTCCAGTTTTTTTAAGTCACCAGAAAATGGAATAACGGCAGATTAAGTTGCAACATTTACAAACACAGACGGGCGAATATCAGAAAAAATTTTGTCCAAATTTGCCGCCTCTGGTGTTGTTCCCATTATGTATATTGCGTTTCCTCGCTGAATTTCTACGCCGATCGTTGACTCAAAAATTGTATTGCTTGCGGTTCGCCTGATTACTGCTGGATCACCTTCCTTAGCACGCTCAGCGGCCGGGTGGCTTCTGGTCCGAATGTTCCGTAAATCTCGAAGCCCAGCGGCGGCAACCAGTAATCCTGGGGGATGTTGTGATATCTCTCGGTCTTGTTCCGCTCGGCTACCGCTGCTGCTGCTTCGCCTCGAGCGGAAGTGGCGGCCATGTATGACAAGGCCATGGTCCTGCGACAGATTACATCCCAGGCCAGCGCCTTTCCCATGGGGAAATTGTCATACCGTCTAGTCGTTTGCCATCTGTACGGGAGATTCCCGGAGGTTTCAGTTCAGTTTTGATCCCAGCAAAGGCGCGCTTGATGACCGCTTTGAGGCGTTATGGGTAGCTTTCCGTCCGGCATTGAACTTACAGCTAAAACCATGACAGCTATGCTCATCCGCTTGGTCGCCGCAAATGTATTAGTGTGGTGTGCATACGGGTGCACCTGCCACCCAGGCGCAGCGCTGCTACAGCGGTCCTTAGGCTGAACTATTCGTTAAGTAAGTCCAAAGGGATGCTGCCGGTAGTGCTTGGAGCCATGCGTCTGCCTCTTTGGTGCTGACGGTCAACATCCGCGCCTGGCTAGCGATGTCGTTTCCCAAAGCCCTCTCCAACAGTCTCAGTTCTGACATTATAATCGGGTCGTCTCATGATCACGCTTTAATTTCTGCACTCGCCGAACTGGTGGCGGCGCATCCGTACTCGCCAAATGCTGCGATTTGGTGATTGGTTCACTGCAATACATCTCCGGCTGGTAGTTCGACCAAGGGAGTTACTGAATAAACCGAGGCCCGAAAGGCCGATAGTGCGAGCTTAACAATGCGCCTAACGCCCAAATAAATCGCCTCTTGAGATCGGAAATGGCGCCTGCGTCCAGATTACGTCGGCGATGGCAGTGTTAGTTATTTTGGACAGGCTATCGCGTATCATATTGGGTGTCGAATTCAGTCAGCAAGGGTTCCTGTAAGTAAACCCGGCCGGTACGCATTTTGTCAAGCAATCTTACCAGTCCCATACTGCATCGAAGTAGATGCATTGCCTCGTAGGCTGGTACAGTTTGCAAACGATCTGTCATTCGGAAGACTACATCCGTTGCTAACCGTAATAATGAAGTGCATAAAACTGCTATCCTATCAGTATTGCAGATTGTAATCTCATGGTCAGCTCGTCATGTGGTACGCTAACACGACACCCGGGGACAGCACTTAGAATTATTAAGAACTACAATTTAATTACGAACTGGATCTTTTAACTGGAGTCTATTGGTCACTTTTCCAAACAAAGTACTTTACTGGAATAGCATAACATATAACGAGTACTGCGCTGTACCACACGCGTCAGGGAAAAGGGTTTTATTAAGCGGACTGACCTTTTACTGCTGTTCTGTAACGCTTACGACGGTTACTTTTGTCCGGTAACGCTAACTTTTTTAATTTGCGTTTGACCACGCCCATCTGAATTACAGCAGCTGAAATTATTTTTTTAATTTTACTACGTAGATATATTATCTTTCTGCAAAAACTCAGATATTTCTGAATTTGGAGCCTCCGGACCTATGTGCACTGGTTAATTAGATTTTGGACAGCGGCTGTATATGTACAGTAGTGTACTCTGTAACCACAAAAAGCGCGGGGGCTAATCCGGCGCCCCCAGCGGTTTCATTACAAAGTTTAGCACCTTAATATTTAATTTTTTGGCACCGCCCGCCTGGTACCATACAGAGGAGTGAAATTGTCGATATGAAATTCTTAATCCGGATACTTTGTAGAATTGAAAAATACAAAAAATTGGCTGAAACAATTTATGGCGCGCATAGTTAGAAATGCAAAATATTCATTAATTCGTTCCCGGTTAGCCGGCTGGTCAGGAATTATCAAAGCCTGTAAGTGCAAACTACAGTAGAAATACTTACAGCATTGGAAAAGATTTGTTTCATCGTTAACAGTTTTCAAAATCTATTTGAAAATCGAAGATTTTGGCATTTACATATTTACGGGAATAGTTTGTGGTTGAAATGCCAATGATGATTTTTTTCTGGGGATAAATAACAGGCTTTTTGCAATCGTACTCCTGCAATTTTTCGAAGCTCACCTTGAAGTTTGGACTAACAGCGAGTAAAAGGTGTACTTATATCGGATTCTTTTGGAAGGTCTCCGAACAAATCCCTTCCGAACAAAATGCGTGCTCAAAAGTTGAGGGACTGTGTGTAGTTGTTATTTAGATTCTATTCCTTGATTACGCTGGTACAAATAATACAGCAATGTTTCAGATATGAATTATGTCAGGTATGTTGAAGTTTGCGTTTATTTGGTTATTATCACAAAGCAGTATCAACAGACACAGATTACCTCATTTAAACAATTAAAACTGCTAAATCCACCACTTCAGCTAAACTCAGCAGAAGTACGAGTAATTATAGAAATATTATATGTACAGTGTTACAAAATACATTTACTACACGTCCACGCAGTATTAAATCTCGCGCCGCTGTACAAGCGATTTAAAGATTACTTTCAAGCTTGTTTCTTAGTGTAATGTCCCATGTATCATTCCTTGATGTTTGAATTTATTCGAAGATTCTGCAGTATTTTCTGAAACAAGAACGCGCGAGGTGAACGTAAATTTACGTAATTCATAATAACTTTCTCCAAGATAAAGTGAGTAATCTCACCCAGCATGTGTTAGTCGTTGTCTCATCACAGTCAGAATCCGACATCACTGATCCCACAGCTTGTTGACCTTTAGATCGATAACACCCATTGACAGAGAAATATTACGAATACCATAACTTACAAGCAATAGTAAACTCATACCTTGCAGGGATAGAAATTTTTCCGCAAATAACTGGTAATGTGATAATCGTGCTATCACAGACAGACCTTTTTTTACCGCGCGGACTACGGTCATTTTTTCGTGTTCATTGTAAATCTTTCTCCTGTCAAGGACCAGCAATAAAAACTCCGGCATGTCATCTATCGTATCCAAATGAAGCTGTCCTGATTGCTGTGTCGATATGGCAATAACGATGCTTAAAATCTACGGAAACAGCCAAGAAAGCTCACGTAATACACCATGCCATTTTATTTATTTTGAGTAGGGTATATAAAAATCGTAGCATGAACGAATTACGTGGTATTTTGTGGATATACAAAAGGAAAAAAGAAAGACTGTAGTAGAGTAAAATATCAGTTTTCTCATGCATTTCGAGCGACAAAATCCGAAAATTTTGTTGAGATAATGAATTAAAATTCTGCTGTCACAAATATTCAGATGATACTGTAGAATTTATGCGTGGTGTTGTTGTTCCATCGTATGTCAACGAAAAAGAGTGATCAAAACTCGCAGTTATCTTTACCTGATTGATAACTATCGTCGATAAAGTAACGTTTCTTTTCCATTTCCTCAACATCATGTCCATTGTTTCATTTTGTATGAGCAACTCGATAATTGGTATATGCGTGCGTATTAGCGTTAGGGCGGAAGCACAAGCAGTGCCGACGAGGAACACTTCCTGTAAAGTCGTAAATGCACATGCTGATTCAGGTCAAAATGTTGCACGAACATATTGAAGTTAGCTACTACAGTATTAGCTTAGGAAATATAGTATGCTTACACATACCTCGTCGCTGGTTTCTTCGCACAGCTAAATAGAAAAAACCGTAATTAATATAAAACATGATGATATCGAATTACAACACGATGATGCCTGCAGGTAACAAATTAGCGATAATAAAGTTGATTTGTTGATTTGCAATTATCGCGGCATGATGAGAAGCAATTATATACATACCGTGTTTACTGCGCGAACAATTTTTGGTGAAGCATCACATAAGGTGCCCAGGAGAAGTTTTTGCTGCTCCTGAAAATACGCTGGCGCTTTGTCGGATATTTGCAAATGCACCGCCACTTGAGCAAGAAATCCAGCGGCTTCGCAGCAAACGCTTTCGTAGGAACTCCTCCACAATAGGCTTATTAAGTCCTCAAACTGTGCAATCTTCTCAACGGAAACAGCAAATTATAATTATGTGGAATAATTAAGCAACAATCAAAATGTTTTTACCCCTTGTATCTCCAAAATCCCGTCAGGTAACGCCGCAATACACCCTAGTGTCCTAACAAGTAAGCAGATACTCATAATATTTTTACTGTGGAACAATACGAAATATGCAGTTACACAAAACATTATTGCACTGTACATGAAAAATAATTAGAATAATATTCTAGAATCACCTTAATGTCACGGCTAGAATATCGGCATTAGTCGTTTCTTTGCAGAGCTGGATGAGAATTGGCATAATGCCCGCCTTAAAACCAAAGCAGAAATCAGACACCGTGGTCATCAGAAAATATTGATAACCGCAGTTCGAACATTTCTAGGGGACAACAGCCAGTTAAGGTAATGGTAAGACCACACTAGTAGAAACTAACTATTACAACTTCAAAAATTTAAAACGCGCAATTTTATGCAATAGAAAGTACAAAAACTTATCTGTACTAATAATTCGAACATGATTTTGCGACATAGTTTTGGCGCAGGACGACAGAGTATGTTTTGCGGTTTGCCACAAACGCAGCTTGCTATAACTATGCAAAATTTCCGTCTAATTAAAAATAATTTATGAAAAAGACCTTTTGGTGGCTCAAATAAAATATAAAATAGTTTTAATGTGTCCAAGAGTCAAAACGGCGACTTAAGATGCCGATATATGGTTACCTGGATGACTAAAACACACACTCCTGGGCCTCGTTGTGTCAGCCTCAGCAGCTGCATGAGAATATCATGACAGTGGTCCACAGAAACTGACAGTAGATCTTTTTTCAACTTCTGTAAACGGAACGCCGGTTTGTCGGTGCTATTTTCTCGTTGATAATTACTAGTATTTAGTGCGTTTCTGATTAAACTGGGGAACCTTCCCTAATATATTAGCGGATTACTTACCAGGCATTCACTAAACACGATTTCCGCGGCCATTTCTCGGATGATTTCGGAAATCTGGAGAAAAATAATTACTTTCAGATAGTAGGTTTTTGCTGCATATACTGGAAACCTACGGAATCCGCGCATAATGCAACCACATTCGGATCATAAGGAGTGGCACTAAAAAAACACCGTCTGTTCAAAACTTTTGTTAACATGCTGTAGTCTACGGTAATATAAAAGCTGATAACGCGCACGTGCATTTCTTTGACACCTTTCCTTTTGCAAAATGCTCCTTTGTTCGACCGCTGTGGGGTTACCCCGCTGCTGTTCTACATTAAATGTACAGCTGCAGCGTACTTCTACTGAACAGCATGCGCACAAATTTTTATCTTACTGGGAAATATGGGAAGCCAACGCAGTGATTTCTTTGGAAGCACGGGAAATAAACTGCAATAAAAATTTTCATTAACGGTATTGAACTGCTTCCGCGGAGTATTTGCATTCTTACAGTGATCTTCTTCTTCTTACAGTATAAGAATAATTGTTTACTTACGTATGAAGATAAAGTAGCGTTTCAAGTACAAGAATTATAAGCCGAATGCACATTAACCCGGGAATGCATTTGAAAAGTATCGTGCAGAGTCTATATTAATTTTATAATGTTTTTGTTGTCTAACCTCCATCAAGTCGTTATCGTCATGCCTTGTCGTTCCGTCTGCATCTCCTCGAAAATGTTTGTAGGAAATTTCCAAATTACTGATTAATGGAGGCAGTTTTTGGATGCAGATTGTGCGAATAGCAGCATCATTTTTTTGGTTTATATCGGTGATTTCAAAAAGCTGCGACAGATAAGCCTGCATCTATGGAACCAAGAAACTGATAATTTTACTGTCTGCAGATGTATGGATGTGCCACCACTTCATAGTTAAAATTAAAATGTTAAAAAATAATCAGCCTTTATCCTCCTTGTGTATACAAATTTTGTCTAATTCGAGAAACAACAGCGGTGATAATCGCCAAGCGTACTTACTTCATATATAGGGCCATCAAGCGTCTCGAGCAAACTCTTTTCATATGTGCGAGGAGTAGTTTTGTCGTGCACTTGCCCGACTTCCGTTCTTAGAAAATCGTTTGGATTTTTGCGATCAGTTTGATTACAAGCAGAAACTATACCGGTGGAGGAAGTTGTGCGGGGACGTTTGGTCAAGGCTCTGTTTTTTACTTTTGATGTTCCCGCCGGACGGGTGGTTTTTACTTCCGGATTCGCTAGGGATTTCGATTGCAGAGTGACATGCTCACATGCGCACGACCATCTTAAATCCTGAAGCCAGCGCTGAACAATGTGCTCCATTGCTGAATAATACTAATGTTCCAAAACAAATTTAATTACGGCAGTTTGCTATTAAAACCGATCATTACTGCTGCTAAAATTAAGAAAGATGTCGTTGTCGGTTTGTACATCGTCAAATGATACACAAATGTCGAAATGTGTATATGTGTATTTCTGGAGCAAGATACTCGGATGATCGCAAGATTACATGAGCATTTCCTGTGTTTCAGTTGTATACAAAATGACAATCTACGAAGGCTTTGTTTGGTGTTCAGGTTACAAGCACAAGTCTATTTAATTGATGGATCGAAAGTAATTACATCTAACCGGCAGCTCCAGCGGCGACATGATGTAATCGGGTGAGCTTTCTCACAGCGGCGTTGTAAAATGATTAAATTGTAAATGAAACTGCTCAAACTTTTATGAATTCACGGTAGCCTGTGTCGTCCACTGCTAGATACATAATTAGCCAGTTTAAGAAATAGCCATGTGGAACATACCATAAATCACCTTACGAAATGGTCGCAAAGGATTGGTTATGCCGGTAAAGCCACGATGGTAAAATTAAAACTTTTAAGATGAATGATTACTGATCCGCTTTCGTCAGCCAGTCAAATTTAGTGCGAACAATTCCTCAAATAAAAATAGAGACAAATAAGAAATACTTTTACACACTGCAGCTGGGGTACTTTCGCGTCTGGTGTGTAGGTCAACAGCACCGAACAACACAGCGGTATACTACTGGACATTCGAATGTTTGTCACCCACCCTAAATGTGGACGAATAGGTTGTAAAAAAATTAAAACTCAGTTACATAACATGGTAATAACAACTTGCAAAATAAAAAGTAACAGCGCGTTACACGATTCTGATTACCCTATGAAGCAAACACGGTGACGGTAAACATGTGTAAAAAGCTACGAGTATGTTGCTGTTGTAATGTCACGCGTATTAATGCGGGTAAAACCGTTTTCGATGGCGTATACGGATGCCCCTAGTAAGAACGGCATATTTTCTCATGAAATTTAACGCTCTTTGTCAAAGTACTTGCGACATACTTGCGAAAAAATGGCTTCATTGTATAATATAATCACCGATGTCCGCAGGCGCGATAGTCTCGTCTTTCATATATGTAGCGGCTAATAAGATTTATATGAATCAGCGAAGGTCATTCAGGCGTGCGCGTTTAAAGAAATCAAATGCCGAGAAACACATGGTTAATTGTAAAGTGATTGGCGATAATGTCATCATCATTTTTAACTTATCCATCATTACGTTGTTACCGCGGTATCAGTTGAGATGCTCTCGGTTTCCGTCGCAAACCGTAGTGTGAGCGGAAAATCATCCGCCGCAACTTGTGCCCCATGTACATACATGTTGACGGCACGATCGCACCTCTGTGAATGACATGTGTAATATTATGTACCATTATCGAAAACTTGTTACTCCGTCACTTGCTATTACTTTTGCACTATGTCGGTTATTTTACTGACCTTGCCAAGAGTTAAAGTTGTGTATGATAACAAATTCCATAGAGAGGTTTGCTATTCGTTTTTCATGAAATGAAAATACGAACCGCACTTGATGTTGATTTTTGGATTTGGTACGGACCTCACTTGTCAACGAAGGAATGTTGCCGATTTTGTCAAGCACACAATATACCGAGCACTATGTAACATAGCAGTAGTGGATATCACTTAATATAACTATCAAGTGTAAATTTTTTCATATTGACACGAGTACAATACAATTTGGTTGATTTAAAGCCAACGTGTAACACTTCCGCATTGTGATATGTAATTTTCAATGCTCCCACAATTTGTAAATCTTTGTTAGCATCGTACCAGCGTTGCTTAACTTTGCAATGCAAAGAATTCTAAACATGCGAACTGATGGTTAGACTTCAAATTTTCTTTTAACATTTACCCTGTTTATTGCTGGAATAACGCAAAGCTGCGAGAATCTTGAACTGTGTGAAGCGATTTTTTCACATCTAGATCTACAGATAGAAGTACCTATTTCTCTTGCGAGTATACAATAATCTTTGCATTTCGCAAATACAATTCAAAAAAGTTTTAAATATAGCTTACTGTGCGATTATGTGCAATTAAAGTAGCCCATAAACTTGCCATTGATTATGCTTTATGCACACATTTTTAAATCGAAGGAAGCTAGATTTTATCTACGTATTTGGAAAATTCTTTATATTTCTGCTCATTTTTGTGTGGAAAAAGCACAATCAAGCAAAAATCACATTAAAATCAGCTTGAGACCAATTGTAAGACGATACTGCCAATTTATTTGTTTTGAACAAAAATGTCAGCCCAAGAAGCATAACAAATTAAACCCAAAGAAAAACAATTGTAGCTAAACTAAAGCCCGTATGCGAGGTAAATTATCTGGAGCAATAATGCAGCCGCGACTGACATAAAGTAGGATCAAGCCGAATATTAATGCAGCAACAAAAATTCTTTTCTGGAGCAAGTCACATATAGCAAACTAGACGAACACCAGACCGTCATGGAGATCGACAGGAGTAACGGCTTGACACTCATTACGCAATGCCAATTATTAGGAACATAGTTAATTAAGACAAGACGTAAATTCATTATAACGATCAACATCGGAGCACTGCTAAGGATCTAACCGACGTTCAATTAAAGCAGTGCAGAAGCGTCAACAAAGGAAACGGAGCCGGTTTTTGGGCAGGGAGCTGGTGGGTATGCTGTTATAGCTTTGGGATGTGAGATATCCTTCTTGCTGTGCTTCTTCTTCTCCTTACCCGATGCTGCAGATATACAATATCCTTGGGAAGGATTTGACTTTTTGCAGGTATCTGTGTAGGCACATGACGTTTGTTTAATGCGACACACGTTCATAACGCAAATTAAAAATGCGAAAACACAGGAAACAAAAGCAAAGGTAGAGAATGAAGACAAAGGTCATAAATTAAAAGCCGAATTGAATGCAACGGAAATTTGATTCAGCAATAAAATATGATACAGTTTTTATGATCTCTAATTCTAGATACCGCACTGATAAAATGTAATGAGAAAGTTGTTTTGACTGCAATAAGAAATAACCGATTTTCTGTGCCTGCGTTATTTTAGAAACCAATAGGTAAAACAGAAAATAATTTATTTTATTCATAGTAAACTGACCAGCTGTTTCTAGTAATTTTAATTTTGTTTGTACATTCACGTTACCTGCAAGAGCTACTTTAGAAAGATTACACAAACTATGCACCAGAAAATTGGCCATAATTAATGCTCGAAGCCCTGACACCGGGAAGAGAATAGCGTTGCAAGACATATAAATTTAACTGGAAATGTTTGTTCATCGGTGCGGTAATGCATGCTGTCGAAGATATTATTAAATTGTACTCAAACAGCCAGCCGTACGATCACAAGAAATTACGAGGAGGATGACAGTTGAAAAACACAGCACAGCCAGCAGTGTTTTAGGTAGGTGTTTGACTAGGAGAGGGATCAATTTTTGTAGAACCTTTATTGGTCTGACGTAATGCCAGGTACACTAGTCCGCCAATGAGGGATACGGCGATCAGGCATCCAATAACGATCCCCGCAATTTGAGCATTCGTCAATCCCCCGGTCAATATTGACGTCTCTACAAAAGCCGGAAAGAAACAATACATCAAGCGGGCAAAAACTATAGCTGTTTGGTCAGATAAAATACAGGTAGGTATTTTGTATATCGGCCAACGAACAGACGGATCAAGCCGTCACGTAAGTACAATACAACGTATACGCTTGGGGTATATATGTATGTATATACGTATGTGGCGATATATGGTATAGAAATTAGGACAGGACTCCTGGGAGTAACATTATGATGCCGGGCTTACCAGGTATTCGTATACTGTATGTCAGGACTAAATCAATAATTAATAACTCTGGCTCTAATGCTCTCAACCATATGGTTACTTGTCAGAAACGATATTATGTATCATCCATTTTTCAAATGGCTATCGCTTCCCCTTTGCGCTTCTCGTGACTCGCGAAACGGCTGCTTCCATTTATATTACGTTAATTGTGTGAAAGTGCTGCTTGTGTAGGGTATTGAAGTGCCTTTGAACCGATAGCTTTCGCAATTATGAGTTAATTATTCAATTAAGGATCTGGTAATAAACGCATAAGAATAACAAACGCTTTTCCAGTAGCAATCAAAAACTGTAACAGCATAATTAATAATGGATGGGTGGACAGTGGTCAGTTAAGGGACAGTGGAGTCTATTGGAATCAAGAGATGCGTTTGACGGTTTCAGAAATGACAGCCAGATGCCTTTCACTACTTTCAGATGGTGGAAAGAATGCGCGAATTTTTTTGCCGGTTTGGGAATTCCAGGATGTAGCGCACTGTGTCAATCGGTCTGGGTTTTACCGGATCGTACAACACTTGAAAAGTTAAGAGTTATAAGAGTAACATCAACCGTCAATGTAAACAAAATTGGACAGACAAGCTCTTAATGCCGCATGAAACTCCATCAAGCACAAAATAACGTTATAAGATTTTGACGGTAAATGAACATTAAGGGGCAGCCAAATGTTTCTTGTTCAAACAGACCGCTTGTAACGTAATCGCTTCGACACTTTTATGGCCCACTAATAGTACGCTACACTCATAGTTGTCATATTAAATTAACCTACTTCTATCCATTTTAAATTAAAAAAGATTCAGCCACACATAAACAACAGCTGCCGTAATTTGTTGCATATTCTTGCTAAACGCGACTTCCCGAAAGTTGACAAAGCAAACACAACCGCCAAATTGCTAAAATTCTTATATTACTAAAACTGAAATTTTACTGTTATACTATATTTATTATCTATATTATCTAAATGTTATCTATTATCTGTTACGCTTATAATATACCAACCATTGTAGCCGCAAAAATTTCGAACATGTAAGTAAACATAAAGTACCGTACGCGTTGTATCAAAGGCTGGCTTATAGCGCTTCGGTGACGGCAGAATTATTCTGATTTCGGAAGAATTACTACAGTAAATATGCTATTTTGGATTTTTCAAGTTTTAAATTGTTTTCATACCTGTTTAAAATAATTAAATATTATACTATATAAACGTGCTTAAGACGCAAAGATAGAAAATGTATATGTTTTGGATGTCACCCATTGCTGTGATCGGCTGTGACTTTAATTACCACCAGTGCACACATACACAACGACATGGTTGGGAAAATCGACAAATTATAAACACTTAAGGCATTCATGATGTTCCATTTACTAAAGACGCTTTAAATAGAAATCACTTTTAAATTTGATACAGTTCTCCGACTACGTGCCGTTATAGTTTGTTCGAACAATAAATCACGCTAGAAATTGAGTTTTATTGCCACATACGATATTGTTTAAGTGCCAACAGCTGACTATCGTTCCATCAATTCTGGGCACGATTAAAATTTTGAAACATGCAAACCCTTGTGTTCTTAAGTGCTAGCATCTATTACTTGGTATAAAAGCAGCCTGGTTGTTGGAACAATCAATTTTAAAAGAGGATTTACTCGGACGGTCAGTCGGGTGCCCCCTGAGTCATTCTTGGGCAATAAATAACAGGCTACTTAATGTTATATATGATGTGAATCTGTAAATCCCGTTTTATATCCATGATCATAAATTTGTAGCCGCACGGGTGCAAACATTACTCAGTACATCTTCTGTTGCCGGTTTTCCTATTATAGTCAAAGCAGCAAACACCAAACTTTCAAGTCAAATTAAGATAGCCAATCATTCCACTTACTGAAATCATTACTTATTCTACTGCGATGAGTAACTAAAAAGAAAAAGAGAAATATATGAATGGAAATATGCGTATGTAGAAGCAACTTTTTAATTCCTTGTTTTTTATTAATCAGTATCAACTGAAGTGCTAGCATTTTTATTTGGTTGTTGGCTTCAAACATTTAAGCAAAATTTAATTTATCCCGCCACTATGTACTTGTTTTCGTAAAGTTTATAATTAAACAATTGCTTCCGTATAGTGCATATTAATGTCTAGCGCTAATGTCTACATTGTCTAGTGCACTTTGATTTCTGATGTATATATTACTATTAAATCTTCTAAAACCATTGTGTATCGCGCTTTAAACAACCATTTTGTATAAACTAATACACCTGGTAAAGATAGGAATAAACATTTACTATAACAAATGTAATATCGATAAGCGCTAATGCGTACGCGATAACTGCTGACTTTAGTAGCAAAACGTAATGGACATTTCAAAGTGATTGACCAACTACCGCACTGCCAGCATGCATGCAGACACAGCTGCAAACCACGGTAACCTTGCCATTTTCAAGGCCTGAAGCTGTCAAGCATCTGAACAGTTTCCATACGCCATGAATAATAACTCTGCATGTTATTCCACACGCAGAACGCATGTTGAGAACATTTTGCCGGTACCCTCTATTAAATGTCTCTTTGACCTCGGCACGATGCCGTTCGGAAGCCTGATTTCGGCCTTAAAAGGCACTATATGCAAAGCCTTTACTCTGTCCGTTTGCCGGGTTAGAAAATGTTTTCCCCGCCATCGAAACCACTAAGAAGCAGTACTTAGCACAACAACAAAGCTACACAGTAAAAGCATTTTGGAAGATTATTGGCGTTTTTCTTACGAGGTCAACAGATGCAGCGCGGACCCTCACGCATACATGATATAGAACTAGTGTGTGTGCTTTGTATATGTGCGCGGTATTTCATTCCCAGCATCTGGCTTAGTTCCACACTAACCCAATGCCGAGGTAACGGGAGCAGTGATCAAGGCAAGATGGGATCGATTGAATCCACTCCTCTAATATATAGCAAATCTCTAAAAAGCTTTTTCTCCCTGCCTCGACGACGCCCGGCGTCAGTTCATAGCAATGAGTGCACAATGCAGTACAGTGCCGGCGCACAGAGCCACACGGTACACAGCTTACGGTGTGGGCGGCAAGGTTATCCCGTGCAGATCCTTTTTTCAATTAACTGACTTCTCTATGGGCATTGATTTTTCTGGTTGCAGTCGAAAGGGATATACCCGATCGTTGTGGATAAACATTGCCGTTTCGATTTTGTTCGAGTATTGACTAAGGCCTTTTAGGAAAAAGTGTGTATCCTCTATATGCACTTACCGGCGTCGCTGTTAACCAATGCCGTCGCGCTACTTCTTAAAGCTTCTGTAAAAACCCAAGAAAGCTTGACAATACGGGACAAAATACAATGGTTGTTTACCAAGTTGTTGCCAACCAGGCAGCTCAAAAAATGCCATTTCAACGTAATTTCATCAATAAAAAATGCAAAAAATTATTAATAAAAATATTACAAATAACATAGCGCCTTGTTTTCGGCTATCTGCAACGCACTGAAAAGAGTAATGATCCTTGAAACAATTTTACTAAGTAAAAAATGTGGAGAAGGATAGAATAGCGCGGGGATGGTCATGAAAAGAAAGAACAGGAAGACGAGAAATGTACAGATTGCGCAAGCGGAGCGTGCTACAACAAGCAAGCGTGCAGAAATCAGCCGCCCCCAGCAAACACAACATCAGTCAGTCAATACCCATTCGCAAAGTAATCAACTGCTTTGACAGCATCAAAAAACGATACAATTAACTAAAGTGACGATTCGATAATTGATTTATCCTGTGAGAGTATGTGGTGCATCGTATGGAGCTTTGCGCTGTTTCAGTGAGCATTAGCACTAAGCAAACATAGATGGCATAATAGCCGGTAAACTGCACTTCCTGTTATCCACAAGGAAACGACGAGGGTTGGTATAGGCTATAGCTGTATTCTGATAGCGGGTACTACTTTGTATTTCATAGTTTATAACTTTAATAAAATGTTTGAAAGACTATCGCTAAGCATGATTAGGTGATAAACCAAAATCCAGCCATGATGAAACTAGCCTTTCTAAAGCACATAAAATCTTTCTGGACAGAATCCGAAATTATATCCACGGTGTGGTGATCATTATTTGCAAAACAATGGACATGGTAAACAATATTATGCTGAGTACCCAGATTGATTTGGATACTATATAGACGATGGTGAATTTGGTGCAAAAAGTGAAACGGAAACGGTGCGTCGAAAAACATCTAGTGTGGCATATGAAAAATTCGATGTGAAACGCGGAAATGCAGTGTGCAACCGGTGATGTTATTTAGTGAAGAGTTCCAGAGTGCATGTAAAGGAAAAGTGCAGATAGAGAGAAGGTAACCAACAGCACAAGACCGGAAAGAGTGTTCCCTTCACCACCAGAATTCGGACCTTTAGTTGTGGGCTTATCAGAAGCAGAGCTAGCTGCCGAAACTTTAGCCGCAACTGGAGGGATAGTCGTAGTTGTGGTCGTAGTAGTTGTAGTGGTCGTAGTAGTAGTTGTTGTTGTAGCCGTTGCTACAGATTAGATCATTGCACTATTATTACGTCAGCTAGCTTATAAAGAACCACTAATTACAACAAAAGTAATCAGGCTTATAAAAATCACCTGTTACAATAAACAAATTCATATACATAAACCTGTTCTTCTCATAATGTCAAGAAATATAATACCTCGTACACTTTTGTGGCTATCCAATAAATAGCAAACAAAAAACCAGACAACAAAAATTTCAAAAAAACGTTTATTATTAAGATATGAATTTAAATGTAAGTTTATTATTAAGTATGAGCACAACGTTGTATATGACGAGTAGTCCATATGCAGTTTGAGGTTAACGGGTTAAAATTTCCATCCGATTAAAATTGTACAGATCCAGAAAATCACGAAACACTTCAGCGCGCTATTTATGTGTATAACTGCCGTAATGGAACTTAAAATTTCTTTGGCATGCTGCCTTATGGAATCAAAATCGCAGTGTCCCTAATTGCAGTGTTTTAAAATTGGGCTGATGAACTTACTTGTGGTGGGCAGGAGGAACTGTATGCTGAGCGAGCTGGTGTTGTCGCACGTCCCATTAGCCACTGAGGCTTTACAATCAATGGTAAGTGATTTACTGCGCAGCAGATTGTCCGCTGCCTCCAATGTGAACCAGGCATCCAGTGTCCGCTGTACATAACCATGATCTCCCGGGCTTTCCCGCAAATTTTCCCAGTCAGGTTTGTACAAATTCAGGCCAGGAATACTAATGCTGATCCCGGCTTCCGGATACGATACCGCCGAGCAGCGCACCATTATGCGTGTCCCTCGAAGAAATGTCAGTGTACTGCCGGTGGCGGATGATAAAGTGATATTGGTGATGTTATTGTTGTTGTTCCCACTTTTCTCAACCATTGCCGGACCGGGAGACGTGCTATTAATAACGGCCACATCAACAGTTTCCGGACAAGCTGCAACCAACATCAACAGTCAAACCGCCCATTAATCATTTTGTCACTAATCCACAAAAGTCATCATTATCATGATTAGACGCTACTCCACCCATGCGACTGCTTTTAAAAGCTTTAATGTTTAAAGTGTTATTTGGGAAATTGCTCCCATGCAGATTCTCTGCTTATAGACAATTTTTCGTAATATAATTCAATTACGTAACATTCGGGCGACGAAAAGTGAACTTAGCAAAATTAGAATTGAATTCTAATTGGAATAACCGTCACCACGAATTAAGTATTTAATGGAGGACATGAGTCTGTTGCGATCAAAATAATTTATTTAGGTGGCCTATTTTAATTCGTGTTTATATCCCAGTTCTTGGTATTGCAACGTATCAGTGCAGCACTTTTTGGCTCCAGTTAATTTATGTAAACCCATGAAAATAGTTAAAAAAATGATCTTTAAGAGGAGTACAGTATACGAGTGTTGTGCCCTGATTAAGTACAACTATATACTGCATGTTTATTATGATGTGATGCCTACGTACGAGCCAGAAATTGAGTATTACGTAATAACCTGAAAACAACGGAAGCTGTGCATGTGCTTTTTGACAGAACATGATACCAAAGCATTGAAAGCAATATTCTCATGAAAAAAATAAGGTTTTATCCGGAAAAATAATTATGGTCTATAATTATTTCATACAATATAATTGTAATTAAATATTATTAGAATGAGATGGGTAAAGCACAACCCGATGAAAAAACACATTGACCGGTTAAATTGTAGTACTCCGTACACTGCCGGAAGGAATTACCATATGAACAAGTAGAAAGCACTGCGCAACAAACACAAGTAAACATCATATTTTGATAATGAATATTGATATGATCTTAATCAATACCTAGCCACCACACGTAGGTTTATTTATAAAGTTGTTTATCCGACAACCTTACCTACGACCTTCAAGCGTGTTTCCGATACGATCGGCTTAATGCCTGCCGATAGCGTCAGATCGCAAATGTAATTTGCCTCATCCTTAAAGGTCACGTTAGGTAATCGAATTTGCGGTTGATCCTGGATGGCGAAGGTAATATTCCTGTCCTTCCATTCGTTCTGGGGCATCATGGTTTTATGGGAGAACATGTGCAGGAAGGTGAAGACAATATAGTCGCTGGTCTGGTGATCTTTGAACCATCGCACCGAAAAGATCTCAGTGACGTTATTGCCCGTGGAATTATCGCCGCTGGCTCTCGCAGCATCATAACCATTACAAGAGATTATGGCAGGACTTCCCAGTATAGCATAGACGGTATTTTGTTCACCTGCAACAGATTTAGGCTCTTCAAGTGCTACCGGAAGGATGCGCTGTTGCAGTGCGTAGCGTGGCTGATCCTTTAAAAATCTTAGTACATCGTCGACCATTAGTGATGTATCCAGCAATGATAAATTGGAATTATGAAAAAACACAGCGACTCCTACAGGATAAAATTGTATGCTTATATTTAACGATTTATTAAAATTTTCGTGCTTTTATATATTTTTATTTGCCGTGCACGTAACAACTGTTGTTTTTTTTGCAGTTATTAGAGTTTTGCTCATGCAGTCAACAGCACTGATGCTATAGAAGAATTAGCCGCATGACTACTAATAATTAGGCTGGGCAGTAGCAAGCACCAATTTGCCGGCAATTCGAAATGACTTTGACAGTGTTATTTTGGTGCCAGTTTGACATTCCTGACCATCGTTCCTTTCTTTCGGGGTTAAAAAGATCAAATTCACTGTTGCATTTTTTCGTGAACTATGCCATCCAGAAACCGTTTTAGCACACGACTGTAAAAGGATGACAACTGTCGTACATATCAAAAACGAACACTGAACTTCATGCTCCATTACGCTTACGATGACCAGTGAACGGGTTCGCAGTTTAAGCCGTTGATAGCTGCTAAAACTGTCGATTAAACTCACTGACATGTTTGCTTATTGCAAGTGGTTAGAGCACCGCAAAAAAACTTGAAGTCACATGTGAATTCCGGTAGCATGGGAAGACTTACAAACTCGAACAGTTACTCGTACTAGACTACCTGAGTAGAGGAAATAAAATAGTTTAAAATGAAGTTGTAACGTGTAACTTAAAATATTCTTTTGGCTTTTAATTAATCACCAACATCAATTATGATAAATTTGTCAAACAATTTATGATTCTGTAGACATTATTTACTAAACTATAAACGTGTTCCACGATAGAAGTACTGTACTTTGTTTTCACCATTAAAATTTCCTGTAATCAAACAAAAGAAAAGTACTAGCTGCAGAATTTAGGTAAGGAAATGTTTCAGGCAAATCTCAAGCCCATCGCAGCCGGCAAATATCTGCAGCAGCAATAAAGATTATTCGTTATTATCGTTTGCGTTTTCCATTAGGTCTTAATGAGCAGCCCGGGACAGTTTCATCGGAACTTTAAACGCCCGTAAGTACGACTGTATGGGTATATACTGCGATAAAAGGAAGCTTCGACGAGTTAGGTAATCAGTCATTCGCATCACTGCCTGAGAACTTGAACATACTGTTTATAATCAGAGGAGTTAACCCTAACGTGAACTCTGTCAAACTTTTTTATAAATTAATAATGAGTCGAACAATGAAAAACAGCAGGTGCTGAATAAAGCAGCGCTTTGTTCATTAATGATCAACACACCAGCACACCAGCCGTAATCCATAATGCCGACCCCATCAACACAGCAACCGGTCACTTTATTTGGCACGCAATATATATTGACTGGAAACCTTCTCCCGTCCCGGCCCTATCCGGCATCCTGAATAGGTGTGTAGTGTCGACTAGCGCGCGAGGAGGAAACTGAGTCAGTCGATCAGGAGAGTGTTGCAGACGCAACCTGGCATGTGTGTGTGTATGTTTATGTAATCATCCATACGTCCATACATACCACTGACTAATCCGTCTGGCACGTCGCTGGACACACACCCGGCAACTGACCGTTAATCGGCTCGGCTGCCAGTATATATCCGGCCCGCGCTCCGTGCCAGCTTTATTGAGCACCATTCGGGAAACGGCCACCAGACTGTCTACTGCCACTCAGGACTAAAGGAGAAATGGTGTAAAATGCAGGAAAAGTGTTCCAATTATCGGAGCGGAGTGCGCAGCTTAATGACACTTAGCCACGCGACACTGCTTCCTATTATTTGCAACAGTACACTCGCGGGCCTCCGCGCGCTCTGCACAGCGCGGCCAATGGCACGCTGTGCGTTTTTCATGTCGATGGGAATATTCTCACCAAGGACTTCTCATGATCCTTACGCATCTCTTTTCACAAATTGTTGTGCAAATCTTTTTGTTCTATGGGACCTCTTTTGAGGAACCTTTCAGTCGCATCCGTAGCCAGCACGTTGCCGGTTTTGCTCAATTATTTTTAATTGTGCGGAAAAGCGCCGGTGTGTCTTCCGCTGCCTCGCAGGGATCACAATTAATTCCAGCTCAAATAAGCAGTTATGGATTAAGTTACGTGATGTAACAGTAATCAAGACCGCACCTCTATAAAATAAAAAATCCATGCTATATCAATTGACATTGTCAATGACTAACGCACAAAAACAGTATATTTTCTGAATTTTTTTAAGAGAAAACCATTGACTGGCAAAAGACGCCAACTGAAAATAATTAAAGGATATTCACAATTAAATCTTATAAGAGAAATTTATTAGATACTATCCAATTTCCCGACTGAATATGTAATTCCATAAACCATTATTGTGTGAATGGGTTATGATGGTTTTAAAGTTGAGTATGTAGAGTTTGATGGTGGATGAGTGTATCATCAAGTGTACGTAGCCGTACAATGGACCCCGATCATTTCTACAGCACCTAACACTGCCGGTCATTATTTTCGTTATGAAAGCCTGTAGAGAGTCAATAAAAGAAAGCGACACTAATCCTGTTCCTTCACTTCCATTAATCCCAACACGATACCCAAGCATATTTCATAATCAATAATGAGGATTAACAGCCCAGCTCGTACGGCATAAGGACATTACGGACAGCAGACAACAGCAGAACACACATCAGATATCTGTACACAACTCGACAATTCCGCCACTGTGGCCTCTTGTGGCCAGCGAAATATCTTAATGTACACAACCTACACCAGCAGCAGATCGCTCATTTTTATTCTATCCTCCTCCGCCATTTCGGCTTAATCGAGCTCGCATTATATCGGCATTGTTTTAATTTTCCGAGGGCTGCCGGTCAAGTAGCCGTGCATGAATGCTCAAACACCTACACACGCACACGCTAAGCGGAAAAAGCACCTTGTTTTCTCATTTTCCAAAGTGCACAGTTCTCAGTTGCAGGAGCCTGGGTGAAAATTTAAAAATTCTTATACTGTAAATATGTTAGGGCATTAATCGATAATTTAATTAGGCGTGCACACAGCCCCGTGCTCTGTATTCACACACATCATTAGAACAAATTGCTTATTATCCTCGCGTAATCCATTGGATCACTGCCTGGCTTTTCCGTTTCGCAAACCGTTTATGTACACAGGCAATCTGCGCTAATTTTTGCTTTGGTACATACTGTAGCAAGAGAGAGTCTATAGATTTTGCCGGTGTTTGCTCGTTGCACAACAGACACAATATGCTAACCAACTGACCAAGTTAGCCGGTACCGCGCCGATGACCGCCCGTAAAAAACCGCTGTTCCTCTGATAATTTATGTTTATGCACAAAAATGAACAGCATGTTTTCTGCTTTTCTGCACAATGTCAGGGAGGAGTATACTCGTGCTGTTTTTAATAATACCAGAGAACAGCAATTTCCCCTCTCGACGAACTAGATTAAGCGCTACGCTTTTTCCGGGACGGATACGCCCTTTCTTCATAGCCGACAGACACTGTGTTTAATCAACACAGATGCAGCAGCATCACTGCGGTATACACTTTGAGCGTTTCAGATCTCATAGGGCAAAAAAGCATCAGTGAGCAAGGGAGTTTTTTCCGCATTTCTCATACGGCTCACTAATTAGAGGTCGATGTTTATAATTCTATGGAGAGAAAAAAAAGCTACCGGTATCTTTCATTAGTGCTTGCTGTGCATTAAAGCGTGGAAGCTGTGCACCGTATACAGTCAGAAGGGCTTTTATCAAACGGTAAAACAGGCATTGTACCCCTGATTTTCCATCCGGTGTGACCTAATTTTTTAGCATTTTCGGTATTTCCAATGCTGCAACCAGCCGCAGCATCAGCATGAAACAAGATCGATAGTATGCTGAACAAACAGTGCTGTTAAAGGAAAAGACATTGAGTCCACACACACGCGCGGTTCTACCTGTGCTGCTCCGGTTTGCGATCGTGTGCTGTGTGCATGTTTGTATGAGCACATAGGTATTTTGGAATCACCACGTCAATACCGTAATAAAATTATCCGCCAAGGAAAAAATGCGTACCGCAAACTGGCTTACCTTCAACACAATGCAGGCGGCAGTATGCAAGGAGAAACGAGAGAATAATAATACTGCACGATGGCTTCAGTGACCACCGTAGTCGGAACATTGTGGACAGGCGATTTCCGTTACACACTCATAGATCCATAGACAAATGGTCACTGGACCACCATAAACAATGCAGCAAAGCAAGCTTCTTCGTTATATATGCGAAGTTTTAAAAGGTTTTCAAGAAGAACCCAAGGGCATCCAGATTTTCCGCGGAATCACCGATTTGCGCTTGAAAGGATGAAAGAATTTTCGAGAGATAGAGTCATAATTCTAACGGAACTGACGAGCATATGTGGACTGGAGGGTATATGAAAGCGGAGATTTCATTCCTGTGCTGGTTGGTATAGACAACGTATGGATCGTTGATTTCTGTAATGCTTCAACAGATCGAGCGCGAAACCAGCAAGAGGTGGATACATGTCAATGCCAGCCAATCAGCAGCCGAGTGACCATTCGGCATTCGACAACGGTGGATGCGGCGCTGTGGTTACAACGGAAATATATACCTCGACTGGGGTACAAAATGTTTATCGACGCTTTACGCTCATTATCACACAAGTGTTTTCTCGATAGTTCGTACAAATTTCCTTTTTTATGCATCCGTAGCACCGTCGACCTTCCGACACCAACTTATGTCCTTAACTGCAGGAAAAGCTGGTTGGATGCTATGTTACCGGTACATTTGGCGTACAATTGCCGGAAAACCGGAAAAATTTTCAGTAATTAATTAATTACTGGCTCCCTACCGTGAAAGTAATAACGCGAAATTTGTTTGTTATCTGCGATTGTACTGCTGCGGGCGTTCAGTAATCAGGCAGTTTCGCAGCACACTTATTCGGGCTGGTTTTGTGAATTTCTTGATTATTTCCTTGATTTTAAGCAGGAACAGTTATACATACAAATTTCCAACTAGTGGCTGAATAAATCTATTAAGCGCCATAAGCGGTATGCGTAACGTGTGTGGTACGTTAGTGCATTTTGCAGTTCTGACAACCTGTGCACTATGTGGCTGGAACAATAATTATATCACTATAATTATACATACGTCGCTTGCGAAAAAGCACTCGTTTAAAGCAAATTCAATATATTCTTGCAAATTGTTGTACAGAGAAAGATCCGTGTTAAAGTACTTTGGAAATATAAATCGTACCAGGTTTAAATTAGAACGACCCGTCGTTTTCTTTAGCCTTCCTTTTTTTTAAAATTGCTTAATTAACAATACAATGATCACAAAAGAAAGCGTGCGGTAGTGTCGGTGCAGCCATATTGACGGGAGCTGACAGATGGCGGGAAGAAGCACTCGCACTTGTACGGATAAGGGCAGGCATGCAGTAGCAATGTGCCGGCAAGCAGCGAGCTAACTAACCGTAACCCGCTTACGGCTACCGCGGCGCGAATCGCACTTATTACAGACCCAGTTGCAGCCGTTATTCAGTCCGCATTTTCAAGAATTATATCCATATTTAGAAGTACGGCATTGTGGAGTATGGGATCGCGAATGTAGAGCAGATTTTCAAGTATTGACAAGCACGAGTCACCTGCAATAATAACATACCAGATCTGGCACAATGGATTGATGCAGCCACTTTGTACTGCACCCATTCACTGTACCTGTAAACCTGCCTTCATCCTTTTTATATTTACAGCTGGTCATATCTAATGCAGCAGAACATGTATAATAACAAGCATAAATTTGAATGTTAATTGTCAGATATTTGATTAGCGCGATTTGCGCTTAAAATGGGTAGATAAAAGTATATATGCGTATCCAACCTAAAAATTACCACGTTGCATTTATGGTTTGCACAGGTCCCAGACGAACGACAAAATTGCTATAGCAGATTCTCCATGAAAGCAGCTTCTTTCCCAGATAGGAACCGTTATACTTAAAATGACCAACTGAAAATGTAAAAAAATACCGAGCACGTTGTATCAATCATAGCATATCTGTAGTAAGCTGCAAAATAATTTACTAATAAGTAATAAGTAAATACTTCGCAGTATTTGCAAGCTGAATCGTTTTAGTCTTTATGGCGACAATATCAACGAAAGAACTGATCAGTTACATACAGTAAGATTTTGAAAGATTACAAAAATAAATACAGTACATTGAGCAGGTGATCTGGTAGTGCGTACCTGGTTTTTCCCCTTTGTAGTGTATCTGTACAAGTACACCAAAAAAACGATATGTATTGCATTCCGACATCCGGATTTGGACTTTCAACATAGCTTTTGCATTTATTACTAGTTAGGCAGTTTTGTCAAACGGTTTTTACAACTATAAATCCAAAAAAAGTAAGGGCGTTAATAATCGTTAACCAACAATCGGGAGCCACGTCACAGTTGACTACACCTGTTTTACACGCGTAAATCAAAAGACCGGCGCTTCATGCGGACAAAAAGTGAAATGAAGTTGAATGATTTAAATGATCTACTGTAAATGATGGATGATCTTGGTGAATGATTTAAAATTTGCAGTTTAACTGTGTGACAAATGCAGGTATGTGGGATAATTTAACATAACTCTGTAACAGATGTATACTTTATATGTATTTGTGTACGGCATATGTCTATATATGCATCGCTCCTGTCAAAAGTGAAGTGAGCTTGAGGACTTGAATCATTTGGTGCCTATACGCACAATGGGATTTTGCAGACTTCTTTAATATTAGGTTAAACGAAATTAAAAACGATGTTACGTAAAAACCCAGCGCCGTGGGATGCGTTATCGGTTATAAACGGTAATATTTTGTACTATCGGTAAATGAAATATATATGATCTATATAAGTATATAAGATCTCTACTGGTACGTCATTAAGCATTGCCGCTCGCCATTTCGGGCAAACGCGAGACTCGCGCCACTCTAATGAATGTGCTGAATTAGCAACGGGGCCATCAGGCGAGCCGAGGGTATGTGAGGCGTAGCGCGCTCAGCGTTTGTCATTTCGGTAGAACGCATATCGCGCACCAGATGGACAGTGGCTTGCTTGCCATTTATACAGTACATACGAAAACGCGTTGATTGAATGACTTAAATCGGACATTACAATTTTTTTCGATATTCGTCTCACAACTGTTAATGAAGGAAATTAAATTTATACAAATGATTAATGTTGTAGAAAATGCTCCTATATGAAATAAGCTGCATGCTTACAATAATGTGCGGAAAGTTACTTCTTTCAGTTGAACGTCTACCCTAGTTATACGCGAATCCGCGTTGTATCGGTGGTTACTCGGAATGATATTTTCCAAATTATAATACACGTAAGTTTAACAAAACACCGTGAAATGTATTGATTCTGGACGCGGAACTGCATAATTTTTAAGAACTGCGTACTTCCATAGTGCATGCAAAGCCTGGCACGGCTAGCATACGTTCAGGATAAATTTAGAGTTAATGTTATTATGTAGCTTGAACCAGTCAATTGTATTGAAAAGAGAACAGAGTGGTTTGACTAGCATATGAATAATAAAATAAAAAGTTTCTTTTACTTATTTCTTATGAGACGGTAAACTCAGAAAATCGAAGGAAATAAGAAAAATTTTAAGACTGGGCTATTTACGACCAACAATGCTTTGTTGGTCCAAATTACGCGCTGTGTTTCTTACTTAATATTACAACGAATTTTTGTATAATATATTTTATATAATAATAAGAATTTTATTAACATTGCCTTGTTATGCCTGAAATTCGACATGCGACATGACACATGATGCTTACTGCAAAGCATTTGCAGATAACCAATTAAATGCTACAGTAGGTGTAGGATCGGATTCCAGCATAAGAATGTAGTCGACCTGATTAATAACAGCGGTAAAAATGTATCTGGTTTAAATATACGAAATGAGACAATAAGTAAATATTACAGTAAGTATGTAGCTAACGCTCATAAGTCAGTACTAACACCAGAATACAACAACTTGACGTGAAATTTTACCGAAAACCTGTGAAAGATTAGTATCGCCAATCTGAATAAGATTCCATTCGACAAAAAAAGAGCTTGACTATAGTCTTATCTGTACTATGCCCCGTCATACTGCGTAGTAGTACAGATAACAGTAAGCATGCGCACCTTCACAGACACATATCAGCGATTGAATTGCCGCAAAGAACACCTCACTGTGCTTCAGCAGTTCATCCTAATTTTTTATAAAAAAGCATGTGCAGAAGAAAATTTAATTTTGCACAATTGGTTTCTCTTCATGAAAGTGAAAAGTTGAACTAATAACCACATACAGTTCAAAATCTAAACTAGGGTACCATTTTTCCCATTGACGCGTATGGTATACGTGGCCACGCGGTTCTACCGAAATGACACAAAGGAAGCCGAAATCACACCTCATTAGTGATGGCCCCGTTGCTAATACACCTCACGTATGTCAGCCGCATTTCTCCTGGGGAAACCACAACAACGGATATGTGCTAAAGTTCTAAACCAACTGCGAAGCTGAACACGATTAAATACAAATTTTATGCATGGAGAACGATTAATTGCATGCAAATACTGCAGAATACCTTTGAAATTTGAGCAGAGGTACGCATAAGTACAAAAACATTTAATAGTAGATTTGATATGAAACAAATTTAAAGTTCATACTAACATGTTATACACAAGCTCGGACATTTGTTTCTAAAGATGACATACTCGCTTTTGTTCTGCGGTGTCTGACTCTTGTACTTCTATCCAAAAAATATCCCAAAAATCATGCGCAGAATTGCATGCTGCCATGTTTGAGCTTTGACTGCAGTCAATACAAAATTTTCAGATTTAATACCTATAAAAATATAAGTAAAGTGTTGCAAGAATCATAACTCTCCGCAAGGAAGCGACGCACCATCCGAACAACTTTTACAAGCTATGGTCGTGGGCCATCGTTCGTGGAACATAAGTTACTTGATGTTTCCATGACTGAGTAATGTAACGCGGGCGACGTTTTCACTTATTTAGTCTGTTTTTGTTATATTTTATGTTATTTTACTTAGTCTAAAAGCTATTACACAAAATAAGAACTAAGTGTAGTCCGATGAAAAATGGTCAAATCGAAAATATCTTAGCTTGTGCTATTTTAATATAGGGTATTGCGCTACTTTAAGCAGCTTATAAACCACGATCGTTTTCAAAAACCCATTGTGGATGTAACTTCTGGTTTAGTGCTTTCCTTGTAATTACTGTGATGGTAACCGCTTGCAAACCTGAAAGGTTCACAAACTCAAAATAACATTTTGGACGAAAATTTTCTTGGTTTTCAAATGCTGGTAAATTCACGATCCTTCGCATTATAAAAAAAGAAAGTCCTCTTTCAAGTAACTTTTTCTCTATTAAAAATATCGCCTTTAATCTGAATTAAGTTTTGATTTAATTTTTTAGTTGAGTGTTGTTTGCACACATACAGAGAGTGAACTGCGTTTGTAGCGGGTGATACAAAACAGAAAAATGCTTTTGAACGCGTTTTGTGTGAAACTGTGCATCTATGCAGAAAATTTGTCACTTATTGTTTTTGGCTTCAGACTTTGACAAGCCATTAAACGCTCTCTTTTAATAACAAAACGGAAATGTGAGGCGTCTACTCCCAATTGATCACTTTTTTTACTTTTTTTGCTCCAGAAATGATAATTT